ATATTTTAGATCATGGTTTGAACAAGCACACAGAGACCAAAAATAAATACAATCTTTAAAGCTGATTCCATCAATTAAGAGGAATCGAACTATAGCTCTAATTCAAAATAGATATATCATGCTGCTATATGCAATATCATATAATATATTTGTTTATGGTAAACTATAACAGCCAAAGTCGATGGCATTGCAAGTGATGGAGGTCGATATGGACAGTGATGACGACAACGATGACGTCGTCCTTGTTAACGACTCCAGCAATTCAACACCTGCTACTTCGATCCACTCAGCCACTAGCGTCGAGCCATGGGCACTTCAGACATCTTGTTCTGCCCCTGCTGTACTTGGTCAGGATTGCCACCAGTCCTTGATCCATTCTTCGAGGATGGTCTATGCAGGGGCGTCGCTAGACCTTTTTCAGTGGGGGGTGTAGGGGCCAACGATTATCGACAAAACTAGCCACCAATTACCGACAAAATTAAATGTCCAATATTTACAAATTCAACCCTATAAACCTAGGGCCGAAGACTAATTTTTTTTCCCATGGACTATCTATAGTACTTACATAATTATGCGCAAAATGGTCATTTTCCTCGACGACATAAATATACAAATTATTTCTTCAAATTAGTCTGCATCATAGCTATATATTTTAATGCAGGCGCGGAGCTAGGATCTTATTTTAGGGAGGGGCGGTAGTGAGCAAGAGAATCACTTAAAAGCGCGCTTATTAGGGGGGATGTGGTGGATGGGCTTACCGCGCGAAGCGCAGAAGCTTAGACGTTCCCTTAAATTATTAGGAAAAAAAGACGATTAATTGTACCGTTTTCGACTGTTAATCCTTGGCTGAATGAATTTCCCCCCCCCCCTCTCCTGCGCGAAGCGCGAAAGCTTTGACGTTTCATTAAATTATTAGAGAAAGAAGACGATTCGTCGTACCGTTTTCGACTCTTAATAAGCCCTATTCATCTGAATTCAGTTTCCCCTCGCGCGCGAAGCGCGAAAGCTTTGACGTTTCCTCATATTATTAGAGAAAGACCACGATTCGTTGTACCGTTCTCGACTCATCTAAATGAAGTTTTCCCCTTCCGCGCAAAGCACGGAATTTTTGGAGTTTTATCACAATATAGAGAAAGAAGACGATTCGTCGTACCGTTTTCGAATCAAGCCCTATTCATCTGCATTCAGTTCCCCCTCTCGCGCGAAGCGCAAAATATTTGACGTTTCCTCAAATTATTAGAGAAAGGAAGACGATTCCTCGTACCGTTTTCGAATCTTATTAAGCCCTATTCATCTGAATTCAGTTTCCCCCTCTCGCGCGAAGCGCGGAAGCTTTGACGTTTCATCACAATATAGAGAAAGGAAGACGATTCCTTGTACCGTTTTCGAATCTTATTAAGCCCTATTTATCTGAATTCAGTTTTCCCATCTCGCGCGAAGCTCGAAAGCTTTGACGTTTCCTCAAATTATTAGAGAAAGAACACGATTCGTTGGACCGTTTTCGACTTTAATGAGCCCTATTTGTCTGAATTCAGTTTCCCATTCTCGCGGGAAGCGCGGAAGCTTAGACGTTCCCTTAAATTATTAGGAAAAAGAAGACGATTTGCGGTACCGTTCTTGACTGTTTATCCTTGTCTGAATTTAGTTTCTTCTCCTCCCGCGCAAAGCGCGGAAGCTTTGACGTTTCCTTAAATTATTAGAGAAGGAAGACGATTCGTTGTACCGTTCTCGACTCGTCTAAATGAAGTTTCCCCTTCCGCGCGAAGCGTGGAATTTTTAGCGTTTCATCACAATATAAAGAAAGGAAGACGATTCGTCGTACCGTTGTTGACTCTTAAACCTTGTTTGAATTTAGTTTCCCTGAAAATGTTAAACCTCTGATTTCTTTAGCTGATATTATAGGAAAGTGAAACTTCGAGAAAATACAAGTATTGTAGTTGTATGCACTCTCGAAGTCGTCACAGCGGATAAGAAGTCACAGTTCGTAGGGAAAAAAACTTGTCGGCCGACCGACAATATACATCTCACCGACTTCAAACTTCTGCATTGAGATATTACACGAGGATCGAGCAAGAATACCGACACTGCTGACCCGACACAGCAACATATTTACCCGTGTCTTTCTTGCTCCCTCGACGAGACGACTCCACCCAACAACCCCCTTCTCTCTTTTACTCCCACTCCTCCTCTCTCAGACTCTTACCTCCCCTCTCTCTCCTCTCTTTCATCCTTTCTTTTCCTTTCTTCCCTTTCCTCCCTCTTTTTCTTTTTTCTCTTTCTTTCTTCACTTTTCTTTCCTTTCTTTTCCTTTCTTTCCTTTCTTTTCCTTTCTTTGTTTTCTTTTCCTTTTCTTTTTTTTCTTTTCTTTCCCTTTCCCTCTCTTTTTTTCCCTCCCCCTTTTCTTTTTTCCCCCGACGGCAGCGCAATTTTACCGACAATATCCTGACATGTGGAGGGGTGTCGCAGCCCCACACCCCCCTTTGGCGACGCCCCTGGGTCTATGACGAGCTACCCTCTACGTCCTATCCGAAGGACGTGAGGGTTTCCTCTCAGTACTTCCTGTCCTATCGTAAGTTGCGAGGTCGTTATCTTTGCAAGTCTCCAAAGTAATGTATCTTTGAAGGTTTCTTGTTTTGTTTTGATTTTGTTTTTGTTAAAACAACACTCTATTCATTGTTAATTGGTTGTCATACAAGTAGCCTTGTTTCTGCACGAAACGGGAAGAAAAAAACCCCAAGGCATTGACCATGTGTGTCAGGAATATTATTATTATTAGGTATTTTTATCATACCTTCAGATAGTCAATGATTTCATTTTTTTAAATCAGGTTGCCCTGAGAAACAGTCAGAATCTACATCTTATCTCTTGGCCGTCATCATCAACATCTGCTCAAGCGTTTCTCCGTTCATCAACGACACCATGAAGGTGGAGAAAGAGAAAGAAGATGAGGAAGAGGAGCAGGAGGAGGAAGAGGAGGAAGGGGAAGGGGAGAGGAGGAGGAAGATGAGGAGTAGGATGAAGGGGAGGAGGAGGAGGAAGGGGAGGAGGAGGAGGAGGAGGAGGAGGAGGAAGGGGAGGAGGAGGAGGAGGAGGAGGAAGGGGAGGAGGAGGAGGAGGAAGGGGAGGAGGAGGAAGGGGAGGAGGAGGAGGAGGACGAAGGGGAGGAGGAGGAGGAGGAAGAGGAGGAGGAAAAAGAGGAGGAGAAAAGGGAGGAGGAGGAGAGGAGGAGGAGGAAAGGAGGAAGAAAAAGAGGAGGAGGAGGAGAGGAGGAGGAGAAAGACGTGGAGGAGGAATAAGAAGAGGAGGAAAAGGAAGAGGAGGAGGAGGAGTAGAGGAGGAGGAGAGGAGGCGGAGAGGAGGAGGTGGACGAAGAGGAGGAGGAAGAGGAGGAAGAGGAAGAGGAGGAGGAGAGGAGGAGGAGGAGGTGGAGGAGGAGGAGGAGGAGGAGGAGGAATTCTATTACTTGCATACGCGTGTATCCAACGACTGCTCCATGCTCGTCGACGCCCATCTCTTCCATATAAACTCCTCCTCGTCGATCCTCTCCCTCCTCTTCGTCCACCTCCTCCTCTCCTCCTCCTCCTCCTCTTCCTCTTCCTCCTCTTCTTCTTCCACCTCTTCCTCCTTCTCCTCCACGTCTTCTTCCTCCTCTTCTTCCTTCTCCTCCTCCTCCTCCTCCCCTTCCTCCTCCTCCTCTTCTTCCTCCTCTTCCTCCTCCTACTCTTCTTCTTTTTCTTCCTCCCTTTCCTCCTCCTCATCTTCTTCCTCCTCCTTCTCTTCTTCCTCCTCTCCTCTTCTCCCTCCTCTTCCCCCTTCTCCTCCTTTTTGGTGTTGTAGATGAACAGAGAGACGCTTTAGAAGATGTTGATGATGACGGCCCAGAGATAAGATGTAGATTCTTACTGTCTCTCGGAAATCAGGAATCCTCAAGAGTACTTTTTCAACTATGGACAAAAGGGACTCACACAGTTATACAGAGCTTCCCAGAAAAAACGAAACCGAGAATTATCGATGTTTTATCATAACTTAAAACACATTTATGATTAATAAATGACACATATTTGGAAAGCTTAGATCCACCTCTTTCATTATTTTGATGCAACTCATTATGATGCATATTTCACGCATGAGTGATTAAAATCAATTTGAAGAGAGGGAACCAAAAAGTCGTTTGGCGGGCGGTATCTGAATTTTTAGCAAACAAATTCGTTTTCACTGGCTGCCTGCCGTAGCAAAAAGCAGAATTGACAAAAGACTTAACTCCGTTTCGTTGACAATCAGCCATGCATGTCTTTCGTATACGGCTGATTGTCAACGAAACGGAGTTAAGTCTTTTGTTAATTTCGTCTGTTGATACGGCAGGCAGCAGTGAAAACGAATTCGTTTAATCAATGCAAGCACTACTTTAAACAAACAGAACTTTCTTATACCTAGATCATTTTTCCTGAATGAGGTGCCATATGAAAGGGCAGAAACTCAACTTTCTAGAAAATAAATGTGACTTTCTCTTTGAAATTCAGATACCGCCCGCCAAACGACTTTTCGGTTTCCTCTCTTCAAATTGATTTTAATCACTCATGCGTGAAATATGCATTATTATGAGTTACATCAAATGAAAGAGGAGGATCTAAGCTTTCCAAATATGTGTCATTTATCAATTATAATTGTGATTAAGTTATGATAAAACATCCATAATTATCGGTTTCGTTTTATTATGAGACCGGCATTAGAATACTGCTCTCACCCTTTTAAGAAGAAACATATTCTCAAAGTGGAATAAGTTCAACGTCGTGCAACTAAACCCCTTCAACCTCTCAGAAGTATTCATTACAAGTTACGGCTAGAGCAACTAAATTTGCCTCCATTATCATCAGGCACGTAGCCACGGAGGGGGGGGGGCACGTGCCCACCCCCCAAAAAAAATCCAAGATCGGTTGAACTTTTTTAGACCCCTTTTTTTTACCTCGATCGATTACATGTAGGTGCCCCCAAACATCAAACTCTGGCTACGTGCCTGATTATCATATAGACGTCATAGAAGCGACATGCTACAGGTCTATAAGATAATGCATCGAATCGACGACCTCCAGTCAACTAATTTCTTTCATCGTACCACTGTCGCAGTAACAAGAGGTCACCAGTTCAAACTACAAAAGAAACACGTAAAATCTAAATTGAGGCAGAGCTCTTTTTCACAGAGAGTAGTAAACGAATGGAATGGTCTCCCATCATATGTAGCAGAAAGTCATCACTCAATTCTTTAAAATCAAATCTTGATAAGTACTGGTCACTGACGAAGGACAGGTTTAATCCTGATGAACTATTCAACTGTCCATTTTCATCCGTATTCCGTGACTGCGCAACGCCAAATTCAAGAGTAACACACTAGCGGACACCGAGGGCCAAATAGGTTTTGTATAACTTTATGCCTACTTCCAAGGTATGAGGTATGATATACGCTTCTATATATAGCCTACTACAAGTCCGGGTATATATTTCATACTTGGAAAAGGTCATATGATTGCGTTTTTATTTTTCCGCCCATCGACCACAACTCATGTGCGTGCTCCTGCTATACGGCTGTAACATTATATTACACACACAGGTAGTGGGAAATAGTACCGTGTTGAGCTTCAAATACGAGATACCAGCGCAGTGGAGGTGCTACTGTAAGTGTAATACTCTTGGGCGAAAACCGTATTGGCAGGCAAAGATGTTTAGAATTCCACTATCTCTCCCTACTCTGGTAGGAATTATATTAAATGTTATTTTGCTTAAATCTGAACCAAGCTCTGGAGTACTGACATGCACTAGCCCCTGTCAACAAGCGGTAAGTTTACATTCTCTACATAATTATTTTGTTTAAAGTTCTACACTCGACTACTTAATGCATAAACAGTGCAAGCATAGAATGTTATGGTGCGAAAAAATATACTTTGATATGTTAGCTTCCAAGTCGTGACATATATCGTCCGAAAATCTGCTGATAAGTTGATAGACCACATTTGATAGTTTTTATGGTATAGGGATATTATAATGTACTTTATATACCTCACTTAAGAAATCCAGCCATCTGATTGGTCGAATTGCATTCATAAACTTCAACTGTTCCTGTAAAATTCTCGGTAACCATGCATAAAACATTTCAATATTTTTAATAACCATGGTTATTAAAAAAAGTTGGTCAGCCTCCATGGTTACCCCATAGGTTTACATGTTAAAAAATGGTTTGAGGGATGGAGGATGCCGTATGTGTGCGAAGGATTGGTCGGTAATTTCAATACAATTGAATCTCGATCGATCTTACCGACAATTTTATCTTGCATTGTTGACATGAAGACGAAAATAAACTTCCAAAAACAAAAAAAACAACATCTGCCGATAGATCTTGATCTAAGTTCGTGCCAATATGCATTGCAAAAGTAAAAGAAGAGTCCGTATATGGAGCTTTTGCGAAGCATTCATCACACGCGAAGCCGGTTTCAATCCATTTTAATGTATATATTGGAGAAAACTGCCAAGCATGTTAACGGCGGGCCAAAGCCGAGTGGTCTAAGCGTTGGTTTTCGATACACCTCTTGTTGCACGCAAGAGTTCGAATCCCGTCTTCGACAAAAATGATAATTATTTTTAATTTTTCATTTTTTAGTCTATTTTTTTTCGGCATATAAAAGTATTAATGACTGCTTTAATATTCGAGAAATAGTTGTTTTCATACGCTCTCGGGAAGGTTACAATTGGGCTATTCCCCTCGGCAAGCCTCGGGGAATAGCACAATTCTAACCTTCCCTTGAGCGTAATAAAACAACTATTTCTCTCAAAGCAGTCATTAATACTATAATATTGTGAAATAATCTGAGTGGATAATATTATACAACTCTCTTGTCCAACCGAAGTGCTAAGTGGCTGGTTATATTAGAGCAATTGTATTAATACTATTATGCAATGGCCAACTCTTGATCGAATACAGGCCTACATTTTACACTATACAGAAAAGTGAAGAGAACATGAGAGAGTGTGTGTATATTAGTTTTATTTTATTTTTAATGTAATATAAGTGACCTGCATGGGTTGACTTCAAAAGCTTTTTTGATGATGTTTTAGGTCAAGATTAACTTGAATATTGAAATAGTCACGTTTTATTAGTATTGACCCTAATTAAGTTGTTCTATCAATGAAATGATATATGATTGAACTTGATCTAGATTTCTCTCCTCATTCCAGAATCGTTTTGAAGGGTAAGGTGTAATTTTTATGGAACAGTTTCAAATACACTGTTGATGAAAGTGAAAGTGAAAGAGAAAGATAATGTTTACAAAGGTCATACCCCTGTGCCACAACTTGATTTTAGAAATAGTCTAAATAAGGTAGGCCCTAATCACGCTCTCTTACAGCATTCGTTAGGGTTGATGTAAACAAATCACAGAATTATATTACTGAAAGATTCATCAAATGGGCAAAGAATAAGATAAACATTTTTGAATATTGAAATAACAATTGATAGATTGAGATCTACCACTTCTTTTATACCCAATTCACTCTAAATGTTCCTTTTTCTGAATCCTCAATTATTCCTAGTTTGATAATATATGTTTCTTTCCAGTGATAATAAAGACAATGTTAAGCCCCTTCTACATAATATCCATATTTTATTGCACTTGCCGTAGGCTATCCCCTTAAAGTTATCATCATTATGAGGCCTATTTATTTTGTTGCTGTTGTCATTTTGTTATATAAAATTACAGTAACAAAAATTGTCAGAACCCAAAATGCTCTTTGGATGAAATGATGATCCTTTAGTTTATACTCATTCAGATTAATTTGAATACCATGAAGCACATATCCTCCTTGATCCAGCTACTTCTTTCTGTTTTTGTTTTGTGGAGCTTCTCTCAGTAAAGAAATGGGTAAAAATGAAACTGTGAACTCAAACTTTCTTGTTTGCAGACAACTGAAGTAAGATTTATGCCTTGATCTGCCACCAAAGATGGTGCCAGAGGCAGTATGTTTATGACTGGTCTATCCCATTATATTGTCACATAGTTCACAAACCATTTTAATATTGTTAAGCTCATACCAGTATGTATCCCCCAGGCAGATGAACTCAGAAGATTGTGGGTCAGCATGTTAAAGGTCAAAATGTTGCTGTGTCAATTTACAGAGAGATCTTCAACATTCATGTTACAGAGATCTTTCGGTTTGTACTCTCTAGTCTGGTTCTTAGGGAATTCACTGAAGTGCGAGGGTGTATGTCACATCTTATTGACTATGTGATTAATTGTCAACTTTCTCCTCAGTATTCACTATAGCAGTGCTAGGATTTTTTTATTTTTTTTTAGGGGGGGGGGGAAGGATGTTGACTTCAATTGACACCCTCTTCTGATGATCGATGGGGGTCCAATACAAAACAAACAAAAACTATGACAAGCAAAAGAAAATTAGGGTCCAGATCCCATCACCATTTTCTCTTGGTATTGAAAAGATAGGGACTGTCACAGTTGTATTTAATCTTTACCCAGGCTCACTTTAAAACATTATCTTGAAAGTGGGAAAACTTTGTTCTGCCTATAGATGCAAGGCAAAGTGCTGGATGATATTCGAACTTCAGGGATAGAATCAAGTGGGGCGTGAAGTTCAAACCATGAAACAATGTGCATCACGAAGGAAATCATATCATCAGGTTTCAAGATAATAATATCAACGGTCAAAGTTCAGTGAAGTTATATTACACAAAAACTATACCAGTAAGCGAACATGAAACATTGATCTGAAATGTCTCATGATATAGATCACATGAATGCCAATGATGAATATATACATGTAGGCCTATATAATATGGGAGCAATGAGCACTTAAGCTCTAAACTTACAAAGAGGTCTTTTTTTTGGATAAACAATGAAATGTAAAGACCTACTTTTAGCAGTCTACTACATTTCAATTGGTAGGTAAATCTTAAAAAGGTCTTAACCGTAAGAATAAAGTATTTTGTTTTACATCGACATGAGTAGTGGTGCAATGATTACTAACAGTGAGAAAGTTGGTTCAAAGAAGGAACATCTCTCAGTGAAGCAGACACATTTATAAAGTTTACTATTTGCAGCAATAGCCAGGAAATATCATAGGTTCTTTAAAAAAAAAGTAAATTTATCCACATGAGGAAGTGCCCTTTGAAAAGATTTTGTTTCAAATAAGACCTTTCCAACCATGATGACGAATATGAGGAAGGAAGCAAGGAATAGTCGTTACACACCTATTTTAAGAATTATTCAACATTGGCTTTTCTCTCTAGACTCGGCAAACTGTTAAATTTATGATGTCCCTGTACATGAAACTGAATCATATTGACTTTTTATTGTACTGGGAAAACAATTTTTGTACAATTAATGTACACACAGCCTACAATTATAGTCTTGATTAGCTCAACTTTAAGCAAATCAACGGCTGCCTGTCGGAAGGTTGTATATGCAATGTATCGTAAACGGCAGTACATTTATCCATATGAGGAAGTGCCCTTTGAAAAGATTTTGTTTCAAATAAAACCTTTCTAACCGAATCATGATGACGACTATGAGGAAGGAAGCTAGGGATCAAGTCGTACAACACTCATATCAAGGTTTATTAAACTTTGGTTTTTCTCTCTAGACTTGGCAAACTGTTAAAATTGTGATAACCTTGTACATTATTAAGACTTAATCGTATGTGATAACTTTTTATTGTATTGGGAAACAATTTGTGTAGACTTTTTACGGGTAGCCGGCAAAATGACAACAAGGAGCTCCTGGATAATCATCAAGAGATCTAAAGAAATATCAGATTTCTTCTTACAATCAGCAGGGGCAGATCTGAAACCTTTAGGGTGGGGGGGGGGGGGGGGTTACGATAACCGAGGAGACTGACCAGCAAGCAAAGAAAAAAGTGCTCATAAGAATTATTGAGTGTTCATTTACACAAAAAAACTATCTAGGACAAAAATGGGTCGCGACCCCATGACCCCCCCGGATCTATCCATGATTCAGGTTACATGTATTTGAAAAAAAGTTGTGAATTGATATTTAGGGTACTTGGTCTTGAAACGGGGCCCAACACTAACAGAAGTCCAGTGCATAATTTTGTTTTCATTGTCAAAGATATTCATAACATATGTATGTGATTGTAATTTTGACAGATTTCAATATTAGGTGATTTATATAGCTATTGAAGTTGCCTTAGGTTGATTTTTTATAAAGGCTTTGCGATTGTTAATGTTTATAGACAAGCTATTCAAAAAAAGTGTATGTCATTGTTATTTTGACAAATTACAGCAGGTTATTTATAAAGCTTTTGAAGTTGCTTTAGGTTGATTTCTTTATAAGGCTTTCCGATTGTTCATGTTTATAGATAGGATCAGCCATTGATGAATGGCTTGAGGTTCATGGATGTTGCTCTATACCTGGGAGGGCACTTGAAGAAGAAATTCAGGAAATTTTCTGAAACCAATTAGTTATGAAAGTGACCCAAATTCTCCTGAGAGTTTAAAGGGGCTCTCACCCTGAAAATGATATGAATTCACGCCCTTCTGACTTTCATCAGATGATTATATCTTAGTAAGATTTTAGATTTATACAGAAGATGCTCCAAGTTAACCTGAATGAACAATAAGTTTCCTGATGTGTAATTTAATCATTACATTTCCTCTCTTACAGGATGCAACTGGAGCTTCAGGTATACCTTTACCACCATGTGTAATAAGTACTACAAGTAAGTCAATCTAAATATTAACTTCAAAAGTATATATACATGATATCTTATCAATTTTCAACAAAACTGAACTGGAGAAGAATTAGGAAGGATTCACAATAAATTTAAGAAAATGAAAACTTGGATGAGAACTTGAAACTTTTAGATTAATCTTTGTATGTTTTGCCACATTTGCCATTGCCTAGAGCAAAATACTTGCTGGCATGCCACAATCTTGGATCAGCTAAGTACTTGATTAAAATGGTCCCATTGTGCTTAATCTGTACAGTGCTTGATATATAGTTACCTGTTTGATTGTTGGCTTAATGATTATTTTTTTTAACTTGATGTTTAGAAGTAATACCAATCATTTGACAGAGTTTGTCAATAGATCTTTTTTTTAAATGGTGGCAGAAAGGATCCTTTTGTTTTGTGTATTTAGAGGTTAGAATTTTTGCTGTGTGTCTTAAATTATTTCTTCGCACGCATTGTGTATCCTTTGCCGCTGCCACCAATTCCTCTACCAGCTCTCTTTCTCTCTCTCTCTCTCTCTCTCTCTCTCTCTCTCTCTTTTTTGTCTCCCCCTCCCTCTTTTATATCTGTTATTCTTATCACAATATTTTTTTTCTTTCACATTAAATTTTGTATGCATAGTCTATAATTTGAATAGGACATCCTTGTGTTTAACAGAATCTTATTATTTTACAATTTGGACACTTTTACTTTCAGAAATAATAGTGATTTGTTTTTGCAATCATTTAATGATATTTCAGGCTTGTGAAAATAGCAATTGCTGCTTTTTAATGAAAAATAGTGCGCAGAATTTTCTGAGGGCTTTGATGCATTTGTACTTTGCTTTCGAAGGGGAAATCCCTAGGATCCATATTATATTGAGGAGAGATAATAAATCCAGTTAAGCTTTTTGTATGCTGGTAGCAACTTAAATTAGATAAAGTACAAGGAATAAAATGTAATTACAAGCTTAGGGTTCAAGTTGTCACAAAATAAAAGAACCTATGCAGATTTGATACCAATTATCTAAAGAAAACAAATATGGGGAAAGCCATCTTAAACACTTAACCTGAATATTATCAAATGACCATTTATCTTCTTTTTTTTTTGGTCTTGTTTTCTTTTGTTTTGTTTTCTTTTGGATAAGAAAATGAGAATCGATGGGGGCATAGAGTGAGTCCAGCCATTGAGGGGGAACTGGCATAATTGCGAAGGGGGGAGGGGGGACACTGACCTTATTGGTGAAAATTAAATTGGGGGTAGAGGAGATCCAGATTTATTCTTCTTATCAATTTCCTTTCTCTATTTTCTCATTTTGTTCCTCATTATTTGATTGGGGCATTCGCCTCCCTGTAGCATTCTTGCAGAGACAGCTAGCTTTGTTAATTGATGAAATATATAAATATATGTTATTACTTTGATTAGGAAGTTGTGAAACCGATGGCACTGTACCTGTCAATCAGGCACCTGGACCTCCTCTCCAGGTTGGCTTAGACTCCTACTCCTACATAGCAACAGATGGAAATATATACCTTGATCTAGCCCCTCGCTGGAAGGCTTCGACAGGTAAATGCTACAGATCACTGTCCACTTGCATATTTAAGGGGCATAGCCAGCACTTACCCCCTTGAAACCTAAGTGGCTTAGTTTTAATACCCAAGTCCAAATTTGAGGTGATGGAATTAGTTTTCCTTGTCAACATATTTTAGGATGTTGTGCTCCCTCGACATAACTAAATAAAGCCCATTAATTATGTAGTGTAGTAAGCACGTATACAGCAATACAACATTTCAGCCCATTTGAATGTTATTTGAATTGTGTAAACCCCAAAAATCCACTAAAAAGCCATGGCAGAGGGAGTACCCCCTCGTTATGTAAAATATGGCAAGTAAAGCTGTTTTTCCATGAAAATTTCCATGAAATAGAGTATAACATTATGATTGTAGTACTAATGGAAACCACATACACGTACCAATTTTGTTTGAATAAAATGGATGTATACTAATCAGGAAACTCATGGCTGTTATTTATCCAGATCGCATCAGCCTTTTGACTGGATATGAAGTTAAGGTCATGTGTCACCGAAGTATTTGTGCAGCGCAATACTTCTGTGTCACAATTTCATTCAACAGAACATTGACGGTTCATGATGCTCAGGTAAGTCACATTGTTTCATTTATTTTCTATTGCATATTGTTTTAAGCCTTTTAAGATATTTGTGAATTGGGATTTAACACCCATTAGACTTTTCATGTATCATTTTACCAGGTAGCAGTTATCAAATCTAAGAAAACATATTTGAAGAACAATTTATATGAAGTCTTTCAAATGAGCATGTTCAAACAAGAAAAATTTAAGATAATATTTAATAATATGTTAATCAAAGCTTCCACATTGTAGGATTGCTTTTGATATGCTCTAACCCTGCAATAAGTAACGCAGGGAGAATATTAGACTACCCAAGTATAATTATCATACAATATAGTTAGGTTTCAAGGGTACAATCGGTCACCTAATATGTTAATTTTATCCTGCTTGTACATGTATGTTTAAAATCAACCAATCCCTCCGTGCAACAACAAAAATAAATGTATTATCTGGATTAACAGTAACAGGAGTATGAAGAACTTAAAAAATAATGTAAAGCCAAATGCACATAACTTAGTTAGGACTAAATTGGGCTCCTTGTGTGCGTTTGTATGTACAGATGCTTGGAGTAGTTTATCTGCAAGTTATTTTATTATTTTACATTTTTTACAAAAGTATTGTAAACTTGCATTTCTATCTTTACAGAAATATTATTAAAAAGCTGATATTTTGACTATTTACAAGCATTCAAAATAAAATATCTTTTTGTGACTTTAAATAGGCAATTGGTTCTTGTTTATCTTTAATATCAGTCCGATTTCTCAGTGACTTGCCAGAATGGAGATTTTGTACAACCTGACATGGATTACGTCACCATTATCCGTAGCCTACCAAACAACGATGATAATTCAAATGAAGGAAGATTTCTTACCAAACTCCCAAGTAAGTGGCAGTGAAAAAATAAAATGGAAGTAGTAACAAGTGATGAAAATTGACTGTAAGAAAAATCTCAAAGAACTGTAGAAAGTTGTAGAAGCTCCAATTTTGTTAAGGAATATATATTGTTATCCTGAGGAAATGTAGATATATCAAATCCAAAAGAACTCATTTGAAGAAGAATCAATTTCAACCTGCCTGGCAGATTTTGTTGTTTTCGGTATCATTGTCATTATTTTCATATTCATCTACATGAGCAATCAGTTTCTCGAATGATTCCCCAAGGGGCAGTGAAGCTACTCTCCTGTTGTAGATATTTACCTTCTGTTTTATTATATTTTTTGTGCAGAGTGTGGACAGGAATCAAATTTAACTGTATGCAACGTTGGTAAGTTTATTACTTTAATATACATGTGACACCTTTGCCCTATTTAATGTTTTTTAATGTTAGCTCTCAGTTCTGATCTTTAGACAATATATTTCATATGCATGAAGGAGCAAATCCAGAGAGGTTCAACATTTCCCAACACATCCAAATGGATCACCTTCGCCTCTTCAAATTGGCTACAATTTTCATTTCACTCTTCATTCTGTAGGGCAAATCAAAAAGTGTGTTGATTAAACCCATGTGAATGAATATTACAAAAGACTACAAAATGCCGATTGTAGATGAGAACAATGGGTATGAATTCCGCAAATGTTGCCATTCTTTCTATTTTTCAATTAGCTTGTTTATATTTGTAAATAGCACAATGTACTGTAACGTAGATGAATCCCAAATTTCCTGTGATTTTACTCGTGCTAAAAGTACATGGATTATGTGTGATACTTTTTAAATCTAAAGATAATCCAAAAAACATCACTTAACGGTAACAATGTCCTGCTATGTGTTATTTGTTATGAGTGAAATATCTGCAATACTTTTTATGGTAGAGAAACTGCAGGTAAAGTTTACAGGGTTATACAATGTAATTATTTCAAAGGAATAAAATCCCTGAATAAGGCTGATGGGTGTTGCTAAGAGCTCTTACTAAGAGCTCTTACTAAGAGCTCTTAATTAGCAAAGCCCATCCCTTTTCATGTCTCATATTCCTTTGAAGGACTTATACTGTGTAACCCTGAAAACCTTACCTATGATTCTGTTATAGGTTAATAGAACACTAATGTCATGATAAAAATAAACTTGTTTGCTATGTAGAATCACCCGTCGATTGGATCCCGAAATGGCGGCCAGACGCTACTCAAATTAAAAATGGTTCCGTGGTGGTGAATTTTTGGCCTAGCAATAAATATACGGTCTATGAAGTCTGGCTTGAGAAAGTGGGAGGTAATGAGGAAGTGGGAGGTAACAACAATGGGCAGCATTTAATAACCTTCAATACGGTGAGTAAATGCTAGCTCATTTTTAGGATATAACTAAAGTTTAATTCACGACTTTTTCTTGACCCTAAAGTAAGGAACAATCTTCAATCTCCATATTTACTCACGACAGGCTTCCTCCATGGATTAATTCATGAAAGTTTTTAAAACCTATCTATTTAGTCCTTGGTATCAGTAGAAGTTATGAAATGTTTGCATGTACTTGTTTGGTTGTGTTCCTCTTTCATTCCTGTTATCTTCTCATGTGCTTTAAAAGAAATTTGGTAAATCTCTCATTTATGCTAGATTTAATCTTTTGCCTTCATGATAGGTTTTTTTCATAACCTTTCTGTAATTATTTGTTCAGGAAACTGATCATCCTCCTGTGCTTTTCGACAACGTACAAGAGGGAACTTATAGAGCATATGTAAGTTTTGAAAGTAAGATTATAAAACATAATAATCAAGTGAGCTAATAGTGTTGGTAATTTCAAACATGCTTCAGAAAATGTATCGATTAAATAGTCATCCTTCAAGTCGCATGAAAACTATGGATCTGTTAATCAATTCAGAAGCATTGATTTACTCAACTAAACTTTCATAAATTTGTGAAATTTTAGATTTCTTATTATATGTCCATGATGTTAATGACTTTACTGAATATTTTTCTATTTTCTCTTTTTTCCCTTTAAGAAATATATTTAAGATCATAAGTTCTTGATTACTGAAGGTTGCAGGCTTGTGATTAGACTTTATAAATTGAAATTGAAAATATTTTGTTTATTCATTTGCTTATTTTCATAGTTTATTAATATCAAAAACAACTGAACCCCTTTTTGTAATTAAAAAAAAAAAAATCATTCCTCAGGTATGGATTAATGAAGCACTGTGTGAACAATGTCCGATGATTAACTCCAACAAAAACATCAATGTTACAGGTGAGTTCTGAATTCCATTTCTCTTCAAAATGCTCTTTTACTACCTTAAATCCAGATATCACACCCCCGTTTTGATGCAAAATGAACTGAACAGCCTACATGTACTAGCAAATGTAGTGTACACTGAGAGTCCAGAGAACTTCCAAGGATTACTCCTGAGGCATGTAATGCCCTTATCCCATTAAAGGTATAGACCAATTTTGGAAACGTCCCCCTCTCAAAATCCGGACCAGATAGATATCGTGCACGTGTCGCGTAGTCCCATATACATCTTTTTGTGAACAGTGCTTGCAACTTTACCAAGACTGGGCCAAATTTCTTATAATTTTGATGATTCCAAAACCTTGCAGTACACACCAGATTTATATGCTAGATGATCAACCTTTTCTGATCGATTCCACAACGTTTCTTTCACAATGCAATTGCATGACCAGAACTAGTCTTTCCCTTCAAAGATTTTTGAAGATCTCCGCCAATTAATTTCTGAATTCTCTCATTTCCTTAGGCTTCAGGGCGGAATCCACCTGGTTTCAATAGGCAATGTGTTAATTTTTGTTGTCTGATAATTCATATTTTTGTTGCAGCTATGACCCATCCTACCACATCAACCCATCCTACCACATCGACGACCCCTCCTTACCAACCTACACCCTCTTCACATACTAGCTCCCGCAGACCGGATGTCAAATCGGAACCCAGTCTTCCATTGGCAGCAGTCTCTGGAGCTCTGGGAGGAGTCCTAGTCGTGGTCCTGATCTTGTTTTTTGTCTCCCGTACCTGCAAGTGGAGCCCTGGTGTCCCCAGCATGTTCAAGGAGACTGAGGTTGGAAGTTATCCTACAGAGTCAGCCATGTCTCATCAGAACAACATTCCATATAGTAAGACCAATTGCTTTCATAACATAGGGAAATCATATTATAAATACTATTTTGATAATAATGATAATAATGGTGATGATAATCATAATCATGAAATTAACAATTTTTAAATTAGTAATGATAATAGTATATGTCCCAATAACAAGTCCCAATTCATTATATGTCTGTGTTTTTAGCCTTTCAATCTCTTATGGTATGTTGTTTATAAATGTCTTTGTTTTCTACAATGTATTCCATTTTTTTATAAATCTTTGTATGTACAGGGCTCTTTTGTAAAGCCGGCCTTTGGCACTGAAAAGACTACCCTGTTTTTAAATAAAACTGAATAAATAAATAAATATCACAAGGTTTCACTACAACAATTTAGTCTCCTTCATAGTTAAGAATAAGAACCGAGGTATATATTTTTTAGACTGAAGCTTAAGAAATGAAATCAATATTGTTGTTTGAGCTATTGTGTTTAGAGTTTATGACAATTACTTTGTTATCGATCATGATATTGAGTGCGTGCTTTGTTGAACTGAATCTGCAATATAATGATTTGTGTTGCAAAACACTTACAACATTTATTGATATCGGCCTCATGATAATTTTCAATGATTTCCTTCAAAAGACAACTTTGGTGTCATATATTTTCTTGCAGGTGACTGTGATTCTCTGAATGGAACCCAGTACATCAATCACTTCACTCCGTCGAATGGAACTACCATCTACTCTGACTACCCCACCTGCGGATTCACCAGTCCCTCCATGGTACCAGCAACTATTCACCATAACAACATGATGGCCAATGGAAGACTTATGCAGGAGAGTCAGGTTTATGCCAATTCCATGCCTTACAAACAAATGGATAGCATCAGTAAAGTTGCGGATATACATTCCCCTATGGACGTCCAAACACCCTCTAAAATAGAACAACCGTCATCGCCTGACTCTGGTTTAGAGTCACTTTACTCAGATGGCACAATGGAGGATGGTAGAACACTTTTCTCTTTAGCTTTAACTTCTTTGGGGGATGAAGTGTAGTATAAACTCGATGCATATAGCATGTTCCTTAAAATTGGGCCTTTTTCACTCTCATTCTATCATCAGAAAATGAAGAGTAGTGCATTACTCAGTCAAGTTATCTACAAATTTGTGTTTTTCATAATAAAGTGGTCAACGCCATATCTGAACGAGGCATAACACAGTTTAAAACGCACTTACAATAAGGACATAAGGGTAACAAGGACATTTAATGAATCATTTAGAGCATTTACTATAAAGAAATGTGTACTGTGAACACACTCTACAAAGTGGCTATCATGTACAATCTTGATATAGTTTTTTGACTATAGGGCTTCAATGGTGCTGATTACTGTTTTTAGAAGTACAACAGTTTATGACATTTTAAAATTCATAAGATGTACGGTGCTAATGAGGTCATGTTAAATCGGTTTTAAACTGTGTTATGCCTCGTTCAGAAATGGCGCTGTAAACCATGATGTTTTTTTTTAATAATGATGTAAGTGTAACATGCTTGGCATTACTGTATCTTGTAACACAGAGCTTTAGTAAATATGCATATGACCTTTGTTGCAATCAGTTGCTATTTATCTACAGTATAAAAAAAATGTTGGTTTAATGCTTCATATCTAGTCGTGCTTTTATGGTGTATCATGGATTTTGGTTTGGCGATATGAGAACGTGGGGGATAGAAGTGTGTTGGAGGGCATGTGGTGCGTGAGTGTGTGTGGATGTGCGTGTGTGAAGGAGGATGTGTGAATGTGTTTGAGAAGATGAGCGGTTCGATGATTTAGGATTTTCATCAAACAAGATCCATAATTATCACGATGTAATTAATATCAGCAATATAGACATGGATTTGTTTAGACACAAGGAAATTGACGGTTCAATGTAAATGGAGAGATTCCTATAAGTCAAAATAGTGGAAAGAGCGCCATCTGGTGCAGACACCTCTTCCACATTGATACTGTTCCAATATAACTATTCCATTCAGCTTTCTAATAGTTATATATTTGAAATGTTGATTAAAAACCATATATTGCACAGCTCATAAATATGTCATTTTGTGCTACTGTTATGACACTACATTTTATTTCTTGTTTTTTTCTTCAACTTTGTATGTTGCTTAGTTTGTCATGTGTACTTCGTGTAATATTAGTCTTATATAAGTAAATATTTCTTCCTGGCTTGCCAGCATCCCCATGCAATATATTTATATATTTTTAAATCTAATTGTATTTTTTGGTGTTAATGTAAAATTAAATTTTATTGCTGAGTTTTATTGCCGAGTGAAAATCAAACTATACAACTATGAATAGAATTTGTAAAGTCATTGTGTACAAATGCATCAATAAGGTTTCGTTGTAGTTTTCAAACAACATTTTCTCGTCTTTATATAAAATTGCAATAAGCAACCTTTTAAATAGTACCTTGATGCACATCAAAATTTATTTTAATGTGAAAGAAGATGTATAATACATTAAAAGCTTATTGGAAAATACCTTGTGTGTACCAAAAAATGTTTAACCTTAATTATGATTTATAAGATTTATGTATAAACAACAATTTTCATCTTAGTAAAAATTACACTTTGATGTATTTCTGACGATGCCTTTTACCTTTATAAAACTGAAGTAGTAATTCATTTGATTGTTAAATTTTTACTATATGTGAGTGGATTCTCACTGTGTTTATATGCAATCAAATCTGTTCACTTACTATATAAACCTAATCATATTTCCTCCCCATTTAATTGTTCAATCGACACGATTTTCAAGATATTCCAACACAAGTTATTTTTAAAATAATTTGAACTTTTCAGATTAATGAATCACGAGGTTGTGTAGAAAGTTGATTATGCTCATAAGTAGAAATGTGTGGGTGGTTTATTAGTTGAAGAGGCAGACATTAAAACGAGGCCTATATATGTTATGTGCATTTCAATAACACGCAGTCTTAATATATAGAATTTAGGTGTTTTTTTTCAACTGTCAAATATTATCAACAAAAGTGAGAGCAGAACAGACAGAAATCATTGACATGATTGAATAAAAGGGGAAAAGGGAAACATTATATGAATTGGTTCAACAGAATGATATTAATGTACATCATGAGCCAAATTATTGATAACTAACATTTCCTTTTCGGACTTGATAGCACAAGATATAGGCGGAAATATGCACTGACGTATAAAGAAGTAAAATTATGCCAAACGCATTCAGGGAAGAGATCCCTTATTTCTCGGTTATTTTTTATTGCATGATTAGTGGTTAGTGTTGTTACTTTTATACTTTATATTTTTATATCTTTAATAAAGAACGATGAAGACTGTAACATTATAAGCATTGGCAACATCATTTGTGTATAACAGAAATTTATTAAAGTTTATTTCAGAACATAGTTTACATGCACTGCATGAAAATGTTACATGAGACATATCGAAATACATAGCTGTAACACCCACTGCTGGACATGAAAGACAAAAAGTATAAAATAGTTCTTGAGTCATTTTACAAGAGGTACTGTTTAACAGTTTACATGAAAATAATTATGTTAAAAGCAGAGTGGGAAAATGCATAACTATGACTACCACATTTGTACATTGCACATTTACATAACACATTTAATTTTAGATCTCCATTTCGATTCCTAGTGGATGAATATTAATTAAATTAAATGCCTTGATCTAATATGTGATCAGCATAATTGGCAAGAAGATCAAAAACATAACAACAACAGAATGGAAATGTCATGATACAGAACACGGAGTAAGAGCACAAAGGATATATTTTATTATTCATTATGCTTGCTTGGATATCAGCAAATCATCAAAAATGAGTAATATTGTAATTACCACAAATTCTCTCCCCTTTGTTTGCTAAACATACATCAAATAGTAAGGAAAGTTGGATATCCTTTTATCACACTGACTGCAAGCATGTTGCATGAAATGAAATCAAATGAAATGACTACAGAAATTAAATGGTACTGTTAAGGAAACACATTTCCAAAATCAATAACCCTTGTTCTCACTTTATATGCATCATCTAGTTTTGAATATATCATTGAACTATGAAGAGGAGATTTAGAACTTTAAAAATATGATTAATCCTTAATGTATCGAAAATGTGTTTTCTAAATAACTGTGACAAGATTCACAAGTAACCATGTAATTATATGTCATCATTCTATGTTCCTAATGACTTCGTGTGTACGTTGTTCATGTGGCATACGAGTTGCCTAGTTTGAACAAGATATTAAACAGAATGAACTTAAGGAATCAAATCAGAAGTGAGCAAAGAAAAACTCATATTTCAACCTTAAGAAACAAAATCATATTAACGTAAACAAATACTGGAGTAAACCTGTTTTTTCTTTAAACATATCTCAATGACAGGCGCGTACGCAGGGGGGGGAAATTTTCGGACCGATTTATAAATGTTAAAACCCCCCCCTTGAAAAAATCCTGCGTACGCGCCTGCTCAATGATATTGCTAAGTATTAAAGAAATCATGGTAAATCAATTGAAGGTGTAAGCTATCTAAACAATGTGGTGTTTCGTAAACATTTCATATTTAAACTTTGCAATAAAAAATTATCAAGAGTTATTGCAAAGATTAATTGAAAGAATATCAGAGAAGTTATTGATAATTCACCTTTCACGTGTTTATTATGACACTTATTGATTGGAGACTACGAACGAGAATTGTTTTTACCAGTCTTTATAGAAACGCGGGATCAGTACAGACATAAGTTCTAACATTGGGTCAGATAATGTGATGTGGTAAATGGTCTAACCGTATGGCATGTTATTCCGATGAAACATGGCTGATCTTTCCAAATTATCTCCTCCAATCTCTTTATCAAAACCAATTTGTTTAAAAGGAGGTAAAGAGTTCCTCTTACGCGTGGGGGCTATGAGGACCATGATGAGAATAACCCAAGAACTCCTCCCAGAGCTCCGGCCAGCGCTGCTAAATGGAGTGTAGATCCTGATTTATTTGAGATGCTAACCTCCTCAGGGTCTCTAGGACGGGTGTTGATCCGGCGTGAAGTAGGTGGTGTTGAGGGGGCGGGAGTGGGCATGGCTGCAAACACGAGAATAATTAAAATAACAAAACTAATGATAATGATAATAATGATATTAATGATAATAATATAAAAAGGTAGAATAATATGCCACGTTTCTATCACATGGGATGATCAAGGATAATCAAAGATAAAGTACTATCACATCAAAGTACTCACATATTAAGACATACGGGGTTGTGCCGCTCTAATGGGTGACTTTTTCACGAAAAATCCCTAAACATGTGTCCTATTTTTGACAAAAATACCATTAAAAATGGGTCTTTTTTCAGAATTTCCAAATTGGAAAAATTGGCCTTATTTTGAGAAAAATTCCCCCAAATGACCCATTGAAATGGGTAGGGGTTTCGAGGCTTCAGCGGCACACCCCCGACCAAACCAAATCTGAGTAGGGGGGATCATTACCCTGGCATTAGCTTGGCCGCTACCCTTAGACGCTCAGAGTATTCAGGGAATGACTTCCTACTAGTTTTTCCATTTACTACAGTCATGAGTGGAGAGTGGCACATTTAGCTTAAAGTCTAAAGTGATCTACAGTCTAGTGAAGTATCCATTCGACCACGACACCACTTTTAAAGTTGCAAATAAAAGCTGGGGTTATTCAAACTCTTTAATAATACAATACACAAATCAAAAGTGAAAAATAATGATAACTCTAAGGGAAAACTTACCACGAGCAGTAATGTTATTGCTCGATCTGAAATACGTGCAATCTGGACAAATGTTTTCATCAATAGATACCTAGGAAATGACAACAAATTAAAATATCTCATTCGAAATACTAAATGTCCCTTTGAAAGAGAAAGATGGTGCATAATGTGGTCTTTATCTCTGTTCTAAAATTCATTTTCATTTAGCAAGTATGTTTGGAAGCAAGGAAATAAAAGATATAATGATAATGACAGAGATTGGAGCCCCAATAAAACACATATATAACATTGTGGTTAAATTAAAAGTTATTTACATTAAAGTGCTAACATCGAATCAATATGCTATTTGAAATAATTAAATTGATACGACGAAGTTTCAATTCTGTAAAAAGAAACTAAAAGAAGCTCAGAAAACATAAACTTTCAACGCAAAGAAGAAATTGTACAAATTCAAAACAAAAAAATGTATTTTCATTGACTTACATAAGCTATATAAATTCCCTCGGAAACGTTGTTAAAATACACATTAGGGTTGCCATCTCTTTGCTGGAAAAGTAATCAAAAAGTTCATGATAAATAAACCAACTTCCGGCAACCTAATGACGTAGACTGAAGGAACATGAAGGTCAAAGACGCCGTTGAGAAATATTTAAAGACAGTTATAACTGTTTCTAAAAGGACCAGGTTTTATTTGTCTTTTCATTACATCGTTGGTCAATGGCGTACTAAATGCATTTTGACACTGTTCAATTCAATTTACTACAGAAGTTGGTTGAGGTTAAATTACATATTATGTTAGGAATTAGATGAGGCATCAATTTTTTGTTAATCCTGAAAAAATATGTCATTTCCTTGTATAAAAATGAAGTCATAAGAATAACACCAAAAAAATATCAATATTCCAAATAATTATATTCTTTTTCTTGAAAATTCATGTCTTTCATGAAGCTTTGTGTAAAGAAGTTGAGACGTGAGTCTTTACTAATAGGAAAGAGTGAGAGAAATAGCATCATTTTCCTTGTTTCGATAATGATGCAGCTGTTATGACTGTGATCTTCATGTACATTTCATATTACTTCACACACACACACATACACACACACACACAAAACTATTTAAAGATGGTTTGATTATGGTTGATAATCTCCTTAGAATTATTTAACACAATACAAATATAATCGCATTTGATATACTCACTGAATTAAAGTATGCTTCAAAGAAGTGTGGCATTCTGCGTTCTTTAACATCTACTACTTCCTCAAGCAAGACGTGGTATCTAGGGTATGTCTGACTGGTACTCGGCCAAAATGAGACGACTACAGAGCCATTGCTGATCTGACTAATGAAGGGTTTGTATTCTGGCACCCAGTTCTGGGGAGAGTCTACACAACTTTCAGCTTCTTCTAAGTATTCATGGTAATTTGTTTTGATACATTCACATTGCTGCAAATTTGTATTAATCCCCTTAAATATAAAATAAATTGAACTATCAGTGTATTCACCCACTTACTGCCAGGTTAAAATCTTTATAAAACAAATCTACATTTACATGTACCTGTCCCACCGCTATCCCCAGTTACAACATGTTAAGCTACGGTCACAAAGGTTCGTATGAACGATGCGTTCGTACGAATTCCAGAGTTCGTAGATATTCGTAGATTGGGCATAGCTTCTTACGTCCTTCTTACGGATTTGTACGAAGGCCGTTTAATATTTCGTTTTTTTTTCTTCTCGTAAGAATGCATTGAGTTCTTCTTACGTCAGGCTTACGGCAATTTTACGAGTTTTCGTTCTCTCAAGACGGTTGTACTTGTAACTGAAAGCATTCTCAAGTCATTTGTCAGAAGATCTTACGATTTGTTTGTATATTTTGTCGGGTTGCAAAAAAGCGTTGCACAAATTGGATAACATGTGTACACCTTAGGAGCACCTTGCGAACGCCAGGAGATGTTGTAGGAAGGCCATACCAATCTCCGTTCGTAAGACGTTTTTACCAACGCCGTAAGAGTCCTCTATGAACAACAAGAAATTTGAGGCTTCTAGAATTCGTCCCTATTTTCACGAAGTGACGGTAGTGAGGAAAGTCGTCACGCAAAGCGAATGCAATTTTTTTTTCACTAACGTCACTTCGTGAAAACAGCGACGAATTGTCTCTCGACCCAACGAAACATACGAAGATCTTGCGTGGTTCTTACGATGATATTACGACGTTCGTACGAGGTTGAAAACAATCTTGCAAACTTCCGAACGGTCTACGAACGCTGGTTTCATACGGAGTGGTCTGAAAATCGTTCGTACGGCGTTCTTAACAGTTCGTAATGGTAGTTGTGACCGAGGCTTAATACAATCAAACAAACAAACAAACAAAACTTACATACATTTTGTACCTATTCAACCGGTGCTATCAATTTTTTTTAGAAACCCTATGCTATGTGAACTTATCCCGCTGCTGCAAAGTTAAAAAAACATTAAAAAAGAAAGGAAGAAACATACATATACATGTATTTATCCGACCGCTATTACCAAGTTCAGTTTAAAAAAAAAACATGTCTGTGTCTCTCAGCCCACCGCTGCCAAGCAACACTTAAGTGTGAAGAAGATTTATGTGTATGTATAAATATCAACCCTGCCACCTGCAACCAAAACTGTCAGCAAATCTAGGTGTAACTATCCCACCGCTGCCACCAAGTTAGTAACGACAGAGGAATTCCTCGAATAAATGCAAAACAAACTTACCAATATTGCAAAGAGAAACCTGTGGTTCTTGTTTACAACCTGAGAACAAAAATGAAATCCTAAAATTTGAGTATCCAATTTTCTAGATGAAAGTTTAATCTCATCATTTAAAAGATTTTTTTTGTTTAGATTATTAGCACGTGTCGTTAAATGCAAAACAACTTACAAAACGGACAAAAGCAAACAAGTGAAACCCATGAAATACGCGAATACAGTATAATGAAGACAAGACAGCACGCAGCATAATAATTATCCTACCTTTGAGTAAATGCAACGTAAAATGAGCTTGCTTTCCATCGTACACACAAAACTAATTACCCTTGTTTTGTTTTAGATCGAATAAAGACATTTATTATTCCTTGCTATGAAATGGATCAATTTGCTATGTCAGGGTGCAATCACATATTTACACCATGGGAATGAGGCGGTACATACTTGGAAGGGCTGCGATATGACTTCCTTTGTTTGAATCATCATTATTCTTCGGAAGGCTCTTTATAATAATGACGTAGTCCATGCTAGGCTGGGAAAAATTCCCATACTGACAGCTCACCGTAAAATTAGACTGCAAGAAACAAAGGAGAAAAAATTAAACATAGGTGTATATTGAAACATTCCCTCGTATGTTGTTTCATAATTTTAATGAACAGTGATATCTAAATCTTAAATGTGCCCTGTGCTACAAATGGCATAATAAAAAAACAAATCAAGTTCGATTATTAAACAAGACCAAGATAGTTTACTTCCCACTGTGCTAATTCTTAATATATCAAATATGTATGTTTTAATATACGGGTAGAATTGCCTTTCCCGCAAATTCAAATTTCTGACGATAGAACGAAAAGAATGTTTTAGAGCATGAAATGCAATGACTTACACGAGTATCCTCAATGGTCAATGTTCTGTTGAATAACATTGTGACACAGAAATATTGTGAAGCACAAACATTCCTGCTGCACATGACCTTAACTTCATATCCAGTCAAAAGGCTAATGCGATCTAGGAAAGAAGAAATTTGAGATATGTCAAGTTTTGAAAGGAAGGTGTTTTTTTGAAACACGTAATTATAAGATACTGTTCTCGATTTGTAATTTAAACTAGTCACTACCAATCGATAGATTTGGCTGTGTTTTTCAAATCATGTATGAAGTTTGATTTTATACATATTCCTACCTATTATGCTTTCTACCATTTCACTTCCCATCATAATTATGTGAAACGCGGGCAAAACCGCGGCGGTTATGTTGACGTAAAGTGTAACGTTTCACATTTCTGTATCTTGTAATATACAGAGCTCAGTGAATACACGCAAGTCCTTTGTTGCACGCAGACGCCGTTCATGTAACTTTTACACACCAAAATCGCAGCGGCTAATAGACTTTACTTTGTACTAGATATTCATCTCAAAAAGTTTTTTTCTTGATTACTAAATTTGTACTTTTACATTAAAGTTGAAGTACGTATTATTGTACAACTGCTTAACACTAGGATATGACACTCATTTGGCTATTGTTTCACTTCTAAATATATTTTTCCTTGTGTGCTTCGGAATAGAAGTCCTAGATAGATGGTGCCGTACAGATGCCCTTTCTTCTTTTATCACTAATTTTTCGTATTCATTTTATTCATATCATTCATAATATTCATATTCATATCATTATTCATATTCATATTATTGTTATACTTATTATTATCATTATTATCATAATTATTATCATTATCATTATCATCACCATCACCATCACCATCACCATCATCATCATCATCATCATCATCATCATCAAGTTGTTCACCTTGCGATGCACGCCACTGAGGAGAAATCTCCAGGTAGACCTTTCCATCTGGTCCTATGACAGACGAAGAACCCATACCAACCTGGAGGGGACCACCTGGTGCCTGGTTTACAGGTACGGTGTTCCGATTCCAGCAATCTACCAATCAAAATCAAACCAAAAATAATCAAAATCCCCAGAAAATCTGACAAAAAAATGCACTATCCCAGTATCCCCATTTGAGGGTATACTACATACTGACCTGTACACCTAAGCCATTGTCGTCATTAGACCTAATTATACATTTATTGAATAAGGAAGACATTTAATGTGCTTGATGGAATGTTGTGTTATACCTGCAAGCAGATTTGTCCCACCAGCCCGATCATTCTTACAATTCTAGAATGTTTCGGGAAGAATAGATTTCTTTTAATGCTGACAGCACTGGTTTATCTAGATATAATATTATATCAGGCACTTATACAACAACAACAACAAAATTGGGGGAGGGGGAGAAAAGAATTATGAAATGTCGTGTAAAAAGCAAACCTCTCAGTCTCTTATTAAAAGAGATCACTATATATCAGTCATCTACTTCTGCAAATAAATGTGTATTGATTTATGGTAGACATCTAGAAGGAATGCAAGAACCATCTTTGACACTTTCTTTGTACCGAATTTATACAATAACTTCCAACCAATCATAAACAACAATCTTGTTTAAACAGATACCTGCTTGTTGTATAGAACTTGATTTAAATATCGTGTTATCATGTTGCTGCCAGGACAAAAGAAGGGCTTCCAGTAAGTTAATAAATCTGGGTCTCAAATCCTATAAAGGTAAAAGTGACCATAGTTACGTCAAAATAAAAATGTATAAATTGAGTTCATCAGGGCGTTTTCGCAAAATGCTTGTTTGTCCTTAAACGTGGCCATTATTTCTAAATCTTCTTTATTAGGAACCTTATATTGGTATACTTTTAAAAAGGTATATCTTAAGTCATTATAAATGAACTGACGTATCATTTAGGTATGACCATGTGCATTATGAAAGAATACATATTAATGAAAAGAGGGTGAGAGCGAGGAACATAGAGATAGAGATGGATTAAAAGAGAAGGAACAGGATGTAAAGAGGAAGAAAAAACATGGAAAAAGAGGAAGCTAGAAAGAAGAAGAAAAACGAAGATGGCAGAACAAAAGAGGGGGAAAGGGAGGAAGAGAAGGGGAGGAGACAAGTAGGCCTATATAATGGTTTTTACAAACATGATTGGTTAAGCAGTGAGAGACGAGACATATATATTGGTATTAAACCACAAAGCACAAATTGTCATGACTTGGTACTTCATACGACAACCTTTCCTCTCTTCTTTTAAACACTGATAATGGATATTATTTACGATGTAGTACATTTTTGACAGAAATATTTTACGTGACTTACTTGGAGTAATAACGCATGGTGGGAGCGATGAACTTGAAACACGAGATGCATCCTGTAACAGAAAGAGGGAACTAAAAATCTGAAAAAGCAATTTAGGAAAACTCGACACCTTTCCCGAGGACGAATGAGAATTTTATGTAACGAAGTCATACTATACTCTTATAAAAATGAACAGGTTTCTTTTTTATTTGTTATTTTTACAAACTGCAAATCAAACGACTGATCCAATCATGGAAATTAAAGTGTAATATTTTTACCTCTGAATAAAAACAAACTATAACATATAAAATTATCCGACCATGCTATGTTACCTTTTGACGTACTATTATTGGGTATCTATGAAAATTATAATTTATAATACCTGGCTGACGGAAACCCCACCTTTGCCTAGCCATGCTGACTACATGAATGCCCAACAGTTGGATTTTATACTGATTGCTTTGATTAGTATATAACAAATCGCACGTTTAGTGCTCCGAATGCACAATGTTCTGTTCTTAATCTAAATAAATGAAAATCTGGGAATTCTCAGTTGAGAGCATGCAGGGACAAAGGAGATTTGTCTAGCCGGAGCTACCCCGATAATCAAACCTGACCTACATTATTTTGTCTACACTTATGTATGCCCCCCCCCTCCACCCCTCCCGCGGGATGATGTAAAGAAAATGACATGATAGTGTGTGTGTGTTTTAAAGTAGAGAAATAAAAGGGTCCGTATCATTGCTGGGGAAATTGTGAACTCGTTTTACCTACACCTCGCCTATAAAGTCGTCTTATGAGACATGTGTTCGCATAGTACACGATCATTTCGAGAATAGCTCTCATCACAATTGTTATGACTCTGAAAACATGGGTGTAGCATTTCAATAAATTGTTCGATAGATATTGGTCAACACATCAGTAAGGTTATAGGCACAAATATTCTTTATCAACATGTTGAAGTTTGTAATTTTAAATAGATTGATTGTGAGTGTAGACATGAATGTATTGAGGAAAACAAAACTGATTAATTTCCGAGGTCCTCGAACCCATTCAAACCCATTAGAGTGGAGTTGCCACAAGAAACAAAATTTCTGTCCATATATATGACTACACAAAATTGGATGGACTTGGCTCTTATACAAACTTATTGCCAAACAGGAAAACCATTGTTCAGGTGGACACTCTAGTCTAACGTGGGGTCCTACGAGCTCTACGTGTACATGCATGGAGCTTTGACATAACTACATTTCAAAAGATACACCTGGTTTGGATTTTTAAAAATCCGTAATTTAGTTCTTATTTTTTTTTTAAATGACGCTTAGGAACAGAACTGAAATATTATACAGTGCGTACCAGAAAAAACGAAACCGAGAAGTATCGATGTTCTATCATAACTTAATCACAACTATAATTAATGAATGATACATATTTGGAAAGCTTAGAATCTCCTCTTTCATGTGATGCTACTCAAATAATGCATATTTCAGGCATGAGTGATTAAAAGCAATTTGAAGGAAGGAAACCAAAAAGACATTTGGCGGGCGATATCTGAATTTCGAAGAAAAATTCACATTTCTAGAAAGTTGAGTTTCTGCCCTTTCACATGACACCTCAATCAGGAAAAATGAGCGAGGAATGACAAAGTTCTGTTTGTTTAAAGTAGTGCTTGCATTTCCATAATTTTATTAAACGAATTCGTTTTCACTGGCTTCCTGCCGTATCAAAAAACGAAATTAACAAAAGACTTAACTCCGTTTCGTTGACAATCAGCCGTAGACGAGAGTCTTCATGCATGGCTGATTGTCAACGAAACGGAGTTAAGTCTTTTGTCAAATCTGCTTTTTGCTACGGCAGGCACCCAGTGAAAACGAATTCGTTTGTTAAAATTATGAAAATGTAAGGGCTATTTTAAACAAACAGAACTTTGTTATTCCTGGCTCATTTTTCTTGATTGAGGTATCATATGAAAGAGCAGAAAATGAACTTTCTAGACTTTCTAGACATATGATTTTTTTCTTTGAAATTCAGATACCGCCCGCTAAATTACTTTTCGGTTTCCTTCCTTCAAATTGCTTTTAATCACTCATGCGTGAATTATGCATCACATGAGTAGCATCAACTAAAAGAAGAGACTCTAAGCTTTCCAAATATGTATCATTCATTAATTATGGTTGTGATTAAGTTATGATAAAACATCGATACTTCTCGGTTTCGTTTTTTCTGGGACGCACTGTATATCAAACCCATCTTTCAACTTGTGAAAAGTCCATTATGCATCTAAACAAATTACAGGTTATTCACTGTTTCTGTATATAGAGTAGGATAGTTTGACATTCTACAAAGAAGATTCATTGAATAGAAGATTAACTTTTGCAAAGTTAAAAAGTGATTGACTGAACTAACAAATGCTTCGAACATACTTTTGAAAAGTGGAAGCTCATATATATCAACGTTTCTCAACCAATAATAAATACAACTCTTCCGTATAATTTTTCAATTCATGAACTCCAATTTTGTTTATTTTTCCTTCAATGATAACAACACCAACCAAAAGAACAACAATAATGCTGATAAAAATGATGACGATGATGATGATGATGATGATGATGATGATAATAATAACAATAAAAATAATAATAATTAAACAAATAATAATGATTGCAATGATAACAATTATAATAATAATAATAATATTAATAATAACAATGATAATGAGAGTGATAATAGCAACATTAGTATTGATAATCATAATAATAACAATAATAATCATTAAAACAGATATAGGAAGTTGAAAGCATGCAATTATTACCATCAATTAAAAAAACAAACTTATAATTAAAAAAAAAAAAAAAAAAAAAATCACATTCCTAGTGTACCTTTGCCGACAAAAATATATCCTTATAATCCTCAACATACATGTATTCTTGCAACTGTTAACATCATTCAGCCGGATGTGATCCATAAATGTATACAGGAAGCTTCATAGGCTATTCCCTTGACATAGACAGAAATGAAATTCAATCATACGAAATTGCACTACGGTCCATAGCTTTCCATATTGTACATGTATATTCTAAACTTACCGTTTGTTGACAAGGACTCGTGCAAATCAATGGCAAGCCACCAGCTATAATGGCGCCTACTCCAGATGTACACCAAGAAACATAGACCGTTATTATAACCACCCAAAGTGGAAGATAAACCGGAATAATTTGTGCCATCTTTGCAAATATGTTCGCCTCTCCAATAGAAAATAATCGACCCAGCAAGTACCTTACTGGGTGTTGTTTCATGAAACCAACTCTATGACAGTCCTATCTTTGTCCGCGACCAACGGAGATGTCAGGAAGCAGAAAACCCGTTTCACAAAACCATGTTCAGCCCGGTGGCGGATTCAGGGGGGGGGGGGGGGTGCTGAAACAAAAACAAAATTAGGGCTCATTACCCACCCACCCCCCCCCCCCGGCGCATCCCCCGCCCTTACCGCCGGCTGGATCCGCCCCTGGTTCAGCGACAAATTAATGACTTCGATCAGGCGCGTACGCAGGATTATTTCAAGGGGGGGGGGGTTAACATTTTTAAATCGGGCCGAAAATTTCGCATCGACTTAGCCAGCTGCTGAATAAGCGGGAGGGGGGGGGGGGGGGGTAAGAGGATACTTTTTTTTTTTGGTCCCAAAAAAATCGCAACGACTCAGCCGGCCGCTGAATAAGCGGGGGGGGGGGGGGGGGGTACACTTTTTTTTTTTTTTTTGGTCTCGAAATTTGAAAATTTGACATTTTGCTCCGTTGGGGGGGGGGGGTAAGGTCGCCTTTTTTAGGTCAGTCATGGGAATATTTTTATTAATTAAAAAAAACAAAAAAAAACGAAGGGTTTTTTTTAAATAATTTTTTAGGGGGTTTTTTACACATAAAAATACCAACGGGGGGGGGGGGGTTTACCCCCAAACACCCCCCTGTGTACGCGCCTGACTTCGATACTATTGGCTAAAAATATATAGTCTTTGTCACAATCCATCATATTTTATCCTGAATTACCAAAGGAGATTATGAGGGTTAATTTCACTCAAACTGTTTGAAAAATATATAAATCTTAGAGAGCGATAGCACAAATCATACAAATATCTAATTTGCATGAAAAACATGTGTTACTAATGACATCTAAAAAAATGATTCGGCGACTTTTATATGGTAAACACAGGAAGAACGAAATCTGTGCAAATAATCTTATTTACTCGTTAAGGCATTTAATCCTTATGAAACAGTTTTTATGCTTGTTTAATGTTTTTTATATTAACAATAATAAGAACTGGTCAGTAAAACTAGAGCTTGAAGAATATTAATTTTTTTTTTGCTGCCTATATACTCACTTAAAGTTGCCTTGAGATTGCGTTCTCAAAGCATATGACAGCTTTGGAGTTGCAACAAGGCATTGTCGCGGAAGTTGTCACTCATCTTGGCAAAGACAGTTTTGTGAAACACTTAGCGGACAAATTGAGCGACAGCGTCGAGATGTCGTTGATCTTGTAGTTATGACGGTTTTGAGAAACGACCCCCTGACTCTTTATTGGTTGCGCGCGCTGTCTGACCTCAGTCATGTATGGTGGCCCAGAAGGGACATCACAAAACGTGAACTTTGTGGAGAAACTCGCGATTTGTCGCATAAATTGTAAAATGAGCAATATTCTAAAATCTTTTTTGGCCCCCGGAATTTGACAATCGCGCCGACCGAAATTTCGCTCAGTGGGGGGGGGGGGGGGGAAGCATTAATTTGTTTTAATATTTAACGCGCCTGTCCTCTCCTGACCCAATGGATCGTGTGTCGGGTTGAAAGTAAATAATATCTGTCTATTTCTCACGTGGCGCTTACAAAGTAATCGTATTAAATATATTTAACTATACGCCAAAAGGATAAAGATTAGTTTCCATTCAGCATCCAGATGGATATTTTATAAAGAAAGTTATGAATGTTTGAAATATGAGTCTACTAAGCGGCGAACCTCGAATTTGCAGATTGGTAAGTGGATTGTGATGTAGTCGAAAATAACTCTCCCGCCTTTTATCGTGTAGAAATATATTGACTTCTGCTTTTCTCTTAAGACTTAGTTACAGTCCCACATGCAGCTCGTGATTGAATAACAAAAACGAGGAATATGCTCGTGATGAAGATCGAGCAATTATACCTGGAGTCAGGCGCATACGCAGGGGGGGGGGGGGGGGGGGTTGGGGTTAAACCCCCCCCCCCTTGAGTTTTTTTTATGTGTATGTTTTGTGTATGTTTTTTGTGAAACCCCCCCCCCCCACCTTTTGATTATTATTATTTTTTTAATTATGCCAATGGCTGACCTAAAAAAAGGTGACCTTACCCCCCCCCCCCCCCACCAACGGAACAAAATGTCAAATTTTCAAATTTGGAATCCAAAAAAAATATTAAAAAAATGTCCTCTTAAACTGCATGACAAGAAAGAAAGAAAAATAGGAAGCCTAGGTAGAGAGGGAGAGAGAGAGAGAGAGAGAGAGAGAAAGAGAATGTCATGAAAGGGGTGGAGGAAAAAAATGAGACAGTATCCCTCCTGCACCACTTAATTAGTGGCCACTTTAATCTTCATCTCATTCACCGACACCAAGTAGGACTGGTGCCTCCCCCACCCCCTCCCCATTCCATGGTGCTGCTGTTACACCACTACTACAATGTTATCAACGTTTGTCATTCCATGCTATATGACTATTATTTTCTTATTTTAAGGCCTTTCGTCATATCAATATCCGTATATGTATGGTTTGGTCAGCGAAATATCCCCTTCAGACACATCCACGCTAACTTTGTGATGAAAGAAGCGCATTGCGAAACAAATGAAAAAATTATAAAGTTTAATGAGTTCCCTTACAACAAATGTTAATTTTTATTAACCTATAAATATGATAATGTGTTAACTATTTGCTTATTCTTGTGTATGTAAAAATCTACAGTACTATTTAAAGCGCATATATACCTTTTTAAAGTATTATACGTTGTATAAGAATCTATTGTTATCGACATTATTATTTAACAACAGCATCAATATCATGTCGTCATTGTTATCATCAGCATCACCACCGTCATCATTGTAATGTCAATAGGGACTTTTAGATTCGCACGAAAACAATGGGGATTGCTATGATCGACGTCCTTTTAATGCACTGCCTTGAATGGACGTCACACGTATCAGTCCACGCAAATCTAAAAGTCCCTATTAACAAACATCACCGTCATCACCATCGTAATTAATTTTTATCACTATGCATACATCATCATCATCATCATCATCATCGTCAATACGTACCATCTTCACCACTGTATCATAAGCATCATAATCATCAACGACATCGTCATTTCATCATCATCATAACCACAATCAGCAGCCACCATCATCATCACAGCTGTTGTCTATAGATGGATGCACGGGGAGGGGCGAGGAGGGAGCAGCCATTATGAGAATAATTATGTACTATCGAACAAGGAATACTATATTTCCTTGTCAATACATGAATTAATCCAAGCTTTCAGTATGACAGTATTATATATTAAACTTGACAGATAGTGTGCCCATTTTCCCAATTAGTTGTTTATATGTTAGTTACACCCGATAACAAATAAAACTTAAAAGCACGTTATTGAAATGATTTTTTTTCTTCAAGGTCATTTATTGCTTTTCATGTACGTATTGATTAAAATTCGTATTTACAGACACATTGGCTATCTTGAGGCACTTAACATATTCAATTCTTACGACATTGCGTATGTATTTAATAGAAAGAAAACTAGCAACCGTGGATACCAATCCATATGAAGAAACATATCACATTCAGAAATTGACCGTGTATTGCTACAATGGCAACGAGTAATTCGTGCACTATACGGACCCAATGGATTAATTGACTACTTAGAACAAAAAATTCACATTTATGTAATTAACAAAAATTATTTGCCGTCAGATTTACATCTTTTACTCTTATATTAGTATATAACACGACAACACATTGTGCGCGTAATTTATCTTTAGTTGAATTATTCGATAACAAAGGGATGGAAATGTAAAAATATTTCCTGTCTTATGTAATCATTAATGGCAACTTTTGAATCTCTTTTGAATGCCAGTACATAATACTATGATAAGTATATATGAGGTAACTTGTTATAACTCAATGCTTTAGCAACTCTATATTTACACGGTATGTGTTCCTAAACAAAATGGGGTATTAAGGTCGAATTGATAAGTTAAACAAAATGGGAAAGCAGGTATTGATTAATCAGCTGATGGTGACGTTCATTTCGAATATTAAAAAAAGGTATTTACTTAATATGATTGTCGCGAATTTTTTTACGAACCTCATCAACATAAGTTTACTGCCGACTCTACAACCCAGTAAATAGTGATAATAACGCAATCTCGTAGTAAAATGATTGATTATCACAAAGAAGTTATCGACCACAAAATGCATAATAACACATTATTTCAAACATCTTGTTGACGAACTACAGATTTAATAACCATACCGTTATGAATTTCTTACAATAATCATCGAAACGGGTGATCAATAATTTGGATAAAAAATTGTTCATACATAAATTAACAAACTAGAATGACTAAACATTGTGTCTCAAAAAGTAATGGGAAATAATTATAGATCACTTAATAATATATACAGACAAGATATTACAACAAATAAAAACAAATTTCTAACTATACTCATCATTATTATATGAGATGTTCTTACGATACCAATAGGTAGTCACCTGTCATCATTGATGAGGACCACTCACCGTTAAGGGTATACATGTCCAAAAATTCAGGATTCACGGTAGAATCTACAAGATCCCAGAGGTTCTTGTTCTTTGCTGATGAAGCATAACCGTTGAGGCCTGCCTTCGACAACTCAGACCACGCTTTCGCTGGACTCTGTTCTGGTGTAAATTGATGCCAAGTCGATTGTCGTTCGATAGCGACGTCGATGTCCGATTCATACTGCGATATGAAGTCTAAAGAATCCGTCTGGGCTTCAAGGTGAGGAACTTTTGCCTCATCGTTAGCGGAGATTATGTCAGTTATTTCGTCAATGAGGGAGAGATTAGGAACGGATAGAAGATTAAAATCGTCCGGCGCATCTTCCCAGATGTTCATTGGTTCTCTTAGTGGTGAGATGCTTGGGGTAGGTGAAGGTAGAAAGATGTTTTCGATACCAGGGAGTCTAGGAGGAGGAGTTGACATACGGGATGGAAGCGGTTCTTCGGTCGGTTTGACGGGAGTAGTGAAGTCATGATGGTTTGAATCTGCTAAAGGCATCCTGTTGACTCTGCAAATACCAGCTGCTAGCCTCAGTTTCCTCGCCTTTTCACGTTTCTTTCTCTTTGCCAGGTCCTTTTCTCTCCTTGAAACAATATCCAACTTATTAATGCGTGATGTCTTGTGATGGTGCTTTTTCTTCTTCTTAATGAATTCTTCAACAATACTCGGAGTGCATGGTCTACTCTTTCGAACGGAAACGGCTTCTGCTTTTTCCAGTATTGATCTCCAGTTTCCAATCAGTCTCCAGCGGTTCGAACCACGGGACGTCGAACCTTCCTCTGTAATGACTCGCTCGAAGCAACTAAAGACTGTCAAGTTGTGGCGCACAGAGTTCTTCCAATGAAGACGGTTCTCTTGGTAGTACGGAAACTTGTATGTGATCATGTCATAGATCTCCCTTATCGTAGCTTCATGACCTGGGCAGTCCAGCAGGGACATGATCACAATCCTGACATAGGAATGAGGAGGCCTGGAGTCAACATCGCCATGGACATCGAGTGGAGATGGCGGAGGGGTCACTGTACTGTAAGTCTTTTGTGACATAGTATCGTTACCCCCTGATACATACAGCTTTAACTTTGATAGCTGAGTAGCATCCACATCTAAAGATTCAACATCCACACTCATATTTATGACTTTGAGGTGCCCAAACGGTTAGATTACTTTCTCCGTTTTTAGCAGCGAGAGGTGAGCCGAACGTGTGGTGTACTCGCCCAAGTCTGATCATTAAATGAACTTGATGGTTGTATACATCACCCGGACCATAGCATTGTCAAGGAAACCAAATTCATGCGGTGTCTACAACCTTAGCATACAACGAACAAGATACAAAGGCTATGCAATGCTAACGGCTATTGTTTGACATACATGCTCGAAGAAATTGAATGTTCCTTTTATGTAAGGTAAGCTTCTAGACCTCGGGAAGAAGTGCATTGACAGAAGCATTGTCAAACAAAATGGTTAAGCTGTATTGAGGCAGATGATTCCCGGACACGGAATCTAACTCCTCGTCTACAATGCCCCCTCAATCACAGTCTCCAAGGAAACAAGATGACCAGTGAATGAAAAGTAGACGTGATTGGGGAGGGATTCTTTTGTGATAGATAAATCCAAACGAATGACTGGGGCCATAGTTGGGAAGACTGGTTGGAGAGCAGGTAGAAACGGGAAAATGAATGGCATTGTACATGTATTACTATATGAGAGAAAGTGAGTAGATAATTTTCGCCTTCTGGCCATTCCTTCTCTTCCACCTTCTTCTTCATTTTCTTTCATCTTCGTCTTCATCTTATTCTTCCTCTTCTATTCCTTGTTCCCCTTCTTCTTTTTCTTCTTTATCTGTTCTTCCTCTTCTTTTTTTTCTTTCATCTTCGTCTTTATCTCATTCTTCCTCTTCTTCTATTCCTTGTTCTCCTTCTTCTTTTTCTTCTTTATCTGTTCTTCCTCTTCTTCTTCATCTTCTTCTATATCTGCTTCATCTTCACATTCTTCTTCTTCTTTGTCTTCATCTTCTACCCGGTACTTCTTCTCCAAGGGTACAACTCACACTATATTTCATACTTCCTTCCTCTAATAAGTGGGTAGCAAAATGGGTGAAAGTAGTAGAAGGTGAAATAAACACTCCACATAAACTGAACTTGACATGTTTGTTTGTAGACTTCATGATAGAAATTTATCTTGAAATTTATTTATTGCTGTCAGAAAAAATAGAGATCAAAATGGATAGCTCAACATTCAGTGAATACATGTTCAATAGTAAAGTATAATCAAATAAATAATTTGTAACAGTTAAAATTCACTTTAATATTTAGAGTCACCAAAGTGAACAAACAGTCATCAATTATTTTCCAGATTACCGGGTAAAACATCATTTTAAATATATATTTGAAAGAAATATGAATATTTAAAAAGTACAGGAATCAAAGAATATAAAATTAGAATGACACTACAGGGGAGCTACATGTATATCATTGTTAGTATAACCGATTTGCCATCATTTTATCTAATGTGTCGCGGTTCATAGTCTTTTCCAAGGCCAAACTAATCAGAAGGGATAAGAAATGTTAAATGTAATCAAAGCATTATTAAAATAATTTAAATATTTACTTAAGGACTAAAAGGGTATAACATGACATGTAATTGAAATATCTATCCTCTGACATGTTCATAGAGCTCAGATATCACTCTCCTAATAAAATAATTTGCAATTCCAAATCATACATTACATCTATGTTGCAATAGCATATATTTTGTTGACACATAAACACCTTTTGAAATTGTGGGTTAGCCGTTAGTGTCAAATTACCAATACAAAACAATACCACAAGTATGTAAAATTAACTATTAAATGATTTAGCCCTTCTAAGTTAAGTTTGATTAAAGACCAATATAAGGAATGTTGAGAATATCATATATGCAAATTTTATTAACAAACAATAAAGGACAAGATTTTCTACAGCAGGAATTACAGCCACTCTGTTACTCTATTTTTGTTTTCCTATAATGTTAAGAATAAAGAAAAGCCATATTTGAGCCCTTCCAAGATACAATTAAGAAAGCTGTAAAATGCTATGAAGATGAATTAAATTGAAACTGTTAACAAATATCCACTCAGAATGAGTGAAGGATAAGTTTCCAATTACTCTGGCTCTCCAAACTATAGATTTTTAATAAAAAAAAGCTCTATAGAGGCCTCTGTTTCAACAGATAAAACAAACAAAAAAGAAACCTACCAAAAATACAAGGTTTATTATTTATCACAGCAAATAGGGAGCTCATTTAATATTGATGACGTGCTACATGGTATTACATTATAACCCTGCTACTACATTCAGAATTTATCTTCGTCTTTGCATACAAACTCCACAGAACCATTCGTTTCATCAATAGACTACAACAATTAAACCTGAGCTATGATAGGGCTAACAAATCAGAAAGAAGAATGATAAAATATAATCATCTGAAAAGCACACATTGTATTCCTAATATATCACAAAATAGCCTCTTACACAAAGGTTATATATGTTGAGTGTCAGAAAGGGGGGGGGGGGGTAAATCCCTTTACGCAAGAAATACTTACTATATAAGGAAAATGTCATCCAATCAACTTTATTTAATATATCTTAATATGCTTCAATCTAAAATACGCCAATGCTTTAATATCTAATTCCACATAAATTGTTGAACAACTGCTACTGGTTGCTAAAAAAATTATTTGCTACATTATCAGACCATGCAACACTAAGAGAGATATAAGCTTAATCAGAGAGGACTTACAGGTTAACAAGTAGTACTGTGAACAAGATTATATGCTTTTACATTTGTAAACATTAAAATGTCTACTTAAAGTACCCTGGTCATTTTTATAGCAAGTTTCAAAGAGGCATGAAACTGTTGAAAGAAACTGAATCATTTGTGGGAGATAATAACTATTCCATAGAATTTTGACGAAAGATACGAAAACAGAATACACGAATACCTCACAGGAGATAAACAAAAGAATAGAAGGATTATCAACTGATTGCACATACATGTATGCAAAGAAGCAACATACTTTCCAACAAACTGATATATATGTATATATATTGACTATATACTGCCACACACAAGACAACAGTAGCTACTGACCGAAATGTGATTAATCAGTTCAGATAAAGTCAAAGGGTTCAAATAACCTTCATGATTTAATACACCTATGAAAGCAGAACCCAGATGCTGACCCGAGTAATTAATAGCCTTACTTGCAAGATATCACACACATAAAATGGAACTGTTGTGAGTTAACTTTCATTGGCTTTCATTAACTATATGTGTCAGGTATTTAAGAGATGAAGAGCAGCAGCTCTATAAATCTAGGACAGCACAAAAATACGAAGACATACCAACATGCCCATGCGGAACAACAGATTCCCAACGATGGAAAGTAGTTTTTGACATATTGAATGGTTTAATGACTATTGGAAGACATGATTGTGGCATTAAGCATTACCATAATAATTATAGTAATTATTTATGATCATTATTATCATTTATCATTGTTTTTTCTCAAATAATATGGATTCTAATATCGAAGAACTGAACAGAAACTAAAGTCTAAATGTCTAAAAGGCAAAGTTTCATAATTAAATTAAAAAGGGGCAAATTGACAAAATAGTATAAACAAACTACAACCTTCCAATATGATGTATCAATCGGGTGGGATATAAGAAATTAGAAACTTGACTATTTGAATTTTTAAAGCAAACATAGTAATATCTCACAAATTATCTACATGTTAGTATACGTATACAGAACCAGCATCATTTCCATTGGCTATTAAGTAGACTGTGTGAAATTAAAAATAATTATTACTGATATTTCAGAACATTGTAATCATATCCTGATATCAAAACTGACATGGTTGCATATGAATAATATCCACTTATGAATCAGCTTGCTTTCCATATCCTCTACTTTTTGCCCCCTTTCTTTTTACTCTTTCCCTTAGACTTGGACGCAGCATCAGGATCCAGACCAGATGCAATGGCTAACTGACGTTTCAAGTCCAGCAATGCCTTGACCTCTGCATCCACTACTGCCTTGTCAGCCTTTTCACCCTTCACCTTACGAACTTTCTCTCCCTGAAAAAAAAAGAAGAAGAAAAAAATGGACTTATTAAGAATTTTCAGTAAATCTCCTCCCCTCTCTTCTTTTTCTTCTCCTTCCACTCAAGAAGAAGCTCTTAGTTTCTTTAAAAAAAAAGTTAACACCTATATATATATCTATATTTCTCCTTCCCTTCTTCTTCTAGCTCTTCTTGTTCTTGTTCTTTTTTTTCTTTGCCTCCTCTTTTGTGTCTAAGCCATGTCACTACTGCACACAATATTGTTTACAACATCATTGTGTGGCTAATTTAGTTGAAGTCTTCCAATATTCTGACAGTGTAAAAGTATATTCGATACTACAAATCAAGATTAGATGCAAAGCTACTTCATGAAAACAAGCAAACTAATCTCTGCCTATTTTTAAACAACAATCCTTTTTGTCCAGAATAAAAACTCTGAGTTTGAAATGATCTTACCTGAGCTGTAACTTGTGCAGTGAGTCTCTCTATCTCCTGAGGGCCTGCTGGAGTGGCTTGGTTGCTTGTAGGTGGGTTTGATGTAGGTGGGGCTGGGGTGGCCGCTGCACTAGGCTTTGCAGCACTTTCAACCTATGGAAGACACAGACAATAGTTGAGAAAGCAAAGTTATACCATCAATGAAACTAAATACAGACACAAATACATGTGATTATATCATGAAAACAAGTAACTTCAGCAAGGTTATTGGAAGGAGAGGTAGGACTTTTGGTGTGTCTAGGAAGAGGTAAAGTGGGGTCAGAGCAATTGTTATGCAGGGTGTATATAAGACTCTTTATGTGATAGTGAACAAATTACAAAGAGGGCCAACAAAATACAAAAATCACAGAAACTCTTACAAAATGACTGATTTGTTCTTGAAGCAGATTTCAAAAGCAATGATTTTGCTTGGATCTACTCAAATCCAGAATGCTTAAGAGCGATAAATATATTCTGTAAAGCAGGCAAATAAATGAGAAATGCACATACATTGAGTAAATTCATTCAAAAGCAAAACAACTTACACTCATCAAATGTAGTTCACAAAAATCAGTAGACACAAAGTCAAGGGTATCTACTATTCAATATTGTTGCTTACCTTTTGCTGTTTGCCTGCAAATCTCTTCTTGAATTCTTCAGCTTGGGCTGGTTCAATCTTGGAGAAGAGTGGACTTGGCTGAATGGTAGGAATGTGGAAGAGAGCATATTACCATGTATCATTCCTAATGCATAGAGTGGTTGCTAACATGAAATAGCATGCACATTACGGACATTGTGTGAACATATTGTGCAGCATATATGAAACCAACAATTTTTTCTCAATTTGAGAATTTGGAAGTGGATTGATACATACTCAAGGCTGTTGTTTGGAGTGTGTAAACGGCAAGAACAAAAATCTGATTCTAGCAAGAGTTACCCTAAATAGATATCTGTGGCTCGCTTTGTAAGACCAATTCTAAAAGTTTAAAGCAGGCGCGTCCCTCAATGAAGTGTTAAAGTGAAACCAACTTATAGGATGACAATTACCAGCTCTTGTAAAGTATGTATTGGAGCAGCATAATTTCGCACTGGATGCCCATTCCAAAATCTGTTGTTGCCACAGATCATGCAGACAAGCAAGGTTAAACAAAAATGCTGATTCACTATCAACTATGATTTCATAAACCTTCCCCCATCCTACAAATCAAGCTTATTTCAAATTTGTCATAAAGTTTGCTGGGAGACATGAGGGTGATAACTCAATGTAAAACCCTGTTACTGATACTTGACACTCTTCAGGCTCTTGGCAAATAAGATCCTATAATCCAAAGATTCACAAAATTCTAAAATATTAACCCCCCCCCCGCCCGCCCCCCCCAAAAAAAAATCCCTCGCAACCTTGCCTATCCTGTGACCCTTGTCCACGTAGCAAACAAAGTCTTCCACCAGCACGTAAAAAAAAATAATATCAACCTCCCCTCTCCCCCTCCCTCCCCCCTCCCCCAACCTGCCCTGATGCTCCTCTAACCTTGCCTATTTTGTGACCCTTGTCAAGGTAGCAAACAAAGTCTTCCACCAGGCACTTCAAATAAAATTATCAACTTCCCTTCCCCCTCCCCCCCCCCCCCCACAACCTGCCATGATGCTCCTCTAACCTTGCCTATCTTGTGACCCTTGTCGAGGTAGCAAACAAATTCTTCCACCAGCACGTAACATTCAGGAGGAGCCTGGAGCTGGGCTTGGATGGTAGCACTAGTCTCTGGCATGAATGGTTGCAGGATGACTGAGAGGAGGCACGAGATGTTTGCTGCCAGACCAATCACAGTACCGGCTCTGAGTCTATGAGGACAAAACAAACATACATGTATGCAAACGATCAAATTAAGTTAACAAAACTGAAATTACTCATAGTTCAACAGTTTTCAGATTAATAGCTATTATGGCAAATGTCAATTTGTACTTTGCTATGTAATCTCCACAAATATGTACATTTCGCTACTTGTGTAAATACATAAATTGCTTTCTATAAATTACATTGTTATGTAAATGACACTCCTATGAATGGCATACATGCATGTATATGTAATTTTCTTATATGTCTGTTCTATCTGTGTGAAACTCGAAAGAGATATGTATATGATCAGAAAGCCTGGAGGCGTGACAGAATATATCACAACCTATTAAAACAAAATGCACGAAGCAGAGGTACACGGTGGAATAAACGATAAAGTGTTACAATTATAATTATAAAAACAAAAGTTTGCTTGCTGTTGGACTCACTTTTCTTGAGGATTGCCTTTGACTAGCACCCATGGCTTGCATGCTTGGATATGTTGATTACCAAGACGAGATATGTTGAGGATGTGCTTCAAGGCATCACGGATTCTACATCAAGGAAAAAATAAACCCAAAACAAAATCAAATTAATATGTCATAGAAAGTGGATGGACTCAGGAGTATGAATGTCATTATATATTCACAAAGTAAAATATTCTACAATGGAGTCAATCACATTCATTTTCTTATATGAACCAATTTTCAGTACTGACTAGATTCTGCATACTTATGATCTCAATTTGTTTCCTGTATATTCTATACATGAAAAGATTAAAAAACAGCTGCTATTCCAGTAAGACAACAAAGGCCCTAGAGCATCATCATGTTAGGAAAGGAGGAAACATGTCCCCCTCCCCCTCTTTTTTTCAAAACTTAAAAGGAGAAGAATTTCTGGGGTATTAAAAATAACTCTACTATGCATTAAATGCCTATTTTAACACACAAAATTTAAGATGCTTACCCTTTGAAAGGGTCTAGCCAGCCCCCTCCTAAACCCTGCCTCAGTTCAGTTGCTCTGCTTCCTCTTAAAGCACCCCCCACCCAACCTCACACACACATTTTGAGTGCCCATGAAACCCTTGTAGATAGCTGTCCATTTTACTTACTTGACCTTCTCCTGTAATGCAATGTAGCTCTTGAGTTCTCGGTTGATCTCAGCAATCAGCCTCTCATCTTCACTCTCTAATCTTATCTCGGGTATCACACCGTCAAAGCTATTCTCCAGGAATGTTAAGCCTCTGAAGAAACGAAAAAAGAAATACAACATATACCTTTAAAATCATATACCGGTATACACAGGGAAGATGTTAATGAAATGTGACTAGCAAGAACTCTTGTTTTTGTTTTTTTAGGAGAATTGAACATGTCTGTGGTAACAGAACAAACAAAAGACCCATTACTCATACAACAGTTATTTTCAGACAAAATTAGGTCAGCATGTTGCATTACAAATCCTTACAAACCAGCTTAAGCTTTGAGCAGACCATGCTATTCTAAAGTTTTGCTTAAGAATCACCCCTCTCCAAATTGATGAAATGCAGTATATCATATGAAGCATTTCAACAGTTTTCCAATAAACCACCGGTCAGGCAGATTTGCATGAAGTTTGCCAACTATAATTTTGGAAGAAATTAGGCTTGAGTCGGTACGGTCGATCACACCGGGACCCGACCGTTGCCGTCGGGTCCCGGTTTCGTTTTTTGAGAACCGACGCTCCGAAAAAAATAACGAAATATGAAAGAAATTGCAGTTTTGCACACCACTAAAATCAATCCACCTTAAAACTTAAGTATTTAATGGTTACCATAATCATATTCTAGCTCATCCTGAATCAATCCGAACTGATGATAAGTGATACAAATATGGGTTGCAAGGCAGTTCGCCCGGCCCATGGGGTTGTTGTTGCCAGCTGCTAGCTAGCTACTGTACTGGCCGGGTCTCTCGGCAGGATTAATAAATCAGGTTGAAAGAAACATTAATGTTTGAATAATAAAACGGCTTTCTAAAAAGTACTTCTTTACAACATACCGATCGAATAATTTTTAAAAGACAAAAATATATATTTTTTCTTTGATTTTGAACACCGCATGCTTCTTTTAAAAGCTGAAAATTACTTGGTAATCACAAGAAGTTTCGATACGTTGCAAGGCAAGTTTAGACTAGTCTCGGAAAAATGCGCAGTGCTCCTCGTTAGCTGTAATGCGTGCCAGAACGAACCCAAACAAAGACGTGATCGTAACGAGAAAAAAATCATTAAAAACTACGAGAGCACAATTGGAAAGACAACTACTCAAAATTATCGTAAGTAGATACATAACTTGGAGGAAGAAAACAATAGTTGTCCAAGAAAAGACACATAAATAGTGATATTTAAGGAGTTACTATAGGTACAATCATTATCGGAAGGGCCTGCTGCAATATCTGAATTACACGTGTTTAAATTGAACACGAGGCTATACGAGGCAAATACCGTCCTCTACGGTAAAAAGCAGTATAACAAAGGATTCGAGTATTTGCAGCAGGCTCCTTGCGATAAAAATGTACCCAGTTACTCCTCGATTATCACAATTTCTGTGACATTTCTTGGGCGATTATTGAATTCTTTGTCCAAGTTATCTATCTGATTATGGTAATTTTGAGCAGTAGTTGTCTTTCCAATTGTGCTCTCGTAGTTTTTAATGATTTTTTTCTCGTTACGATCACGTCTTTGTTTGGGTTCGTTCTGGCACGCATTACAGCTATTTACGAGGAGCACTGCACATTTTTCTGAGACTAATCTGAACTTGCCTTGCAACGGCTATCCGTATCGAAACTCTTGATTACCAAGTAATTTTCAGCTTTAAAAAAAAAAGCATGCGATGTTTAAAATAAGAGATATATATTTATTTTGTCTTTAAAATATTATATGATCGGTATATTGTACAGAAGAAATTTTTAGAAAGCCGTTTTATTATTATAACATTCATATTTTTTGACCAGATTTATTCAACCTGCATAAATCAAAATGGCGGCTCGAGTGTTGTCTGTTCATTTCTGCCCCAGTTTTTTTACTTTTAGAGGCACGAAAATGGCACTAAACTTCGCCAATCATGGATGAAAATAATGTCAAATGGAATAATATACCGATCTGAGCCGAGGTATGCATGTGTTTATAAATTTGATTGATAAAAAAGGTCACTTTTAAGGGACAAACTGATGATATGCGCTTTTTATAGAGGCAAGTGACAAATCCTGCGAGCTGATTTCGGGACACCGGGTCCCGATCGGTACAAGGCCGTCGGGACCCGGTTTATGAAAATCCCGACATGACTCAGGCCTAGAAGAAATAGTCAACAAACGAGTAGGTAAAGTAACAAATAGTTAAACAGTCTGGTGCAACCACCCTGTAGTGTAATTGTACACAAAATAGGTTTCATGTACTGTGGAATTTCCTTTGATGCCTGTATTTCCGAGTATCACATGTTCTACTGTTTCATTTGATTTCTTATCCCTCAAATTCTGAATTCTTCAAGGCGACTAGCGGGTAGCTAATATGGATGGAAAAAAAAAAATCTGTCCTTCAGTACGTGGTTTGGTTACATGTTAGCTTTATCCGGTTTAGGCCAAAAAAGAAAGATGTTGTATTGCCCTTTGCGACCGACCCAAAAATCTTGAAATCTATGGTCGGCTTTTAAAAAACGTTTTTTAGATGAAAAAAAAATATTAGAGTATTCAAAACTGAGAAATATCAGCCCAAAGAGGGAGGAAAAAAAAAGAATATTTTTTTTTTTTTTAAAGATTTCCGTCCGACCGACCCATGTTTTGGCACCTAAAGGGCAATACAACTTTTATTTTGTTTAAAGGCCTTATAACGACACAGACCTGTTGATGAAGTTGCCCAGGTTGTTGAGAAGCTCACTGTTATTCTTCCAGACAAAGTCAGCCCAGCTGAAGGCACTATCCTGGGTCTCTGGTCTGATGTAGAGGAGATAGAATCGCCAGATGTCTGCTGGGATACCCGTCGATTGAGCGTTGTCACCAAACACACCGATACCACGGCTCTTGGAGAACTTGGTGTCCTCATAGTTCAGGTATTCTGTGATAAAGCAACAGGTGGTAGCACTTTTAAGTTCAAAATCACAACCATATATGAATCAATAGAGTACCGAAGCTGTGACATCATAACAATTTATTTTTAGAATAACATTACAAACCAGAGCAAAATAACACTGAGTTCATATAGGAAATCTATCTATTCAAATGGTCATATCTCAGCCAATACTTAACATATTCAATTGGTTTTCAACATTTGGACATCATTTTTTATGCTCTTTCGGAAAATGAAAAAAAAAGAGAAATTCTAAAAATGGATTTTTGATGACGTCACACTTCACCACTCTATTAGATTCAGAAAATAAGAAGGGTCGATCGTGCACATAGATAGGTCCATAGCGATTTAGTTCGACCATAACCAAAGATTAAATGGACAAGCATTATTGTTATGTATTTCAAATACTTAGACTGTCATATGGAGTAGCTTTCTCTTTGAATACATTACTTATCATAGTGTTGCTTAAAACTGCTTCCCGAATTGTTATTCAAACATTTCAGGATATAATATCTACTATTCAAATGCTTTCATTTTCACTGGATAAAACTAAACAGCACATATAAAATAATGTCTTTTTTTTTAGATGCAAAAATAATTATGTGTGTAGCATGTTTTTCTGCCATTAAATAATTCTATGCCCAATACATGTATCCCAATAAAGCATTTATCATTGGATTTACCACTTATTTATTCATCCATCCATCCATTCATTTATTTGTTAATTTGTTTGTTAGTTCATTCGTTTGTTATTTCGTTCATTCATTCATTCATTCATTTAATTATTTATTTATTTATCTATCCATATGTATATTCATTCATATATTCATTATTCATTAATTCATTCATTGATTTATTTACATAGTATAAAGTAAATACCTGTGGCTATAAGATGATTGACCATGGTGTAGTTATCATTAGCCCCAATCAGACAGCTCGGGAATATCACACTATGGAACGGCACATTGTCTTTGGCCATGAAGTTGTACAGTTGAACCTGACAAAGAATGACATACATTAAAATCAATCTCAAATCATTTTCTGCTTTAGTTGTTAACCTACACAGCTTACATGTATATACATGTACCACAAAAACCAACAAAGAGTAATCCAAACTGAGAGATAAAAGAACATTAGGTCATCTGTTGGTCTATGATTTTAATGCACTTCACCTATGTATCAAAATCAATACACCTCATTACATTCTTGTTGTTCATTGCTCATTACAAGTGGTGGAACGATTACCGGTAGACCATGATTACTTAGAACACACAATGTACAACATCCTTAGCCTTTTATATATTCCATATACTCATGACTCCTTTTTAATTCCCATTGAATCAATGAATACAGATTAACTATTTTGTCCTATGTTCAATGTGTTGGTAAGAGGTAATATTGTCCTCAATTTAAGTTGAGAAACAGGACTTAAGTTCTCTCAAATGTGTACCAGTACTTGAATGAGGATTAAGAAGCTTTAATTGCCCTTCTTTATGCTATTAAGTGGAGAGATAAGCCAGACAAAAAAGAGGTAGAGTGAAATAGCAGCTGTTTGCAGACATCCTGAACCTGCTTCTTGCTTCTTTCCTCATTGTTGTACAATATTAGTTCATGTTTGTTTAATAAGCTTAAAGCCTCTCTAAAGTACCGGTATTGGAAGCTCCAAATATTTGATGGCAAGATTTCACCTAAAATGTTACAAAATTGAGGTTTGCTCTCTCATTTTACAAAAAGCACTAACTTACCTGCTGTGGGTTTTTCCACCATTTCTCCCACTGGTCTGTGTAATTTGCTGTGATGGACGGATAGCCAATAGGAGCATCATACCATACATAGAACACCTGGAGTGAAAACAAATATTGGAAGTACTGAATTAACTACAAGTAGGCATTACATTAAAAGAAAATCTAAGGAAATCATATGCATAACCCAGTACACCAGTTTAGCAAAAGCATGATATTTAATGAAAACAGCAGGAAAAGTCACAGTAGATATGAGGGCGCGAGAAAAAAGAAAATCCACAACGTGTAATGTTCTCATGATTGTGAACCTTTTTATTAAAAAGAACTCTTTCTTTCAATTTGAAAAAGAAGATAAAGAATGTGTTGTTCTTGTAAATCGCATATCACATTATGACATAACGTCTCTATGCACTTCCAAAGGACTTTGACTATTATCCCCCAGCTTAAGCGCTGGCAACCACAGCGATCAAGGAATAAATCCTCACAAGTACCCGCTTTCTACACCTGGGTTGAGTGTGGCAAGTGTAGATTAATGTCTTGCCAAGGACAATACTGTAGTGCTGCAGCCAGGATTCGATCCTGTACTTATGGTTCACAGTCTGGAAACTTGACCATGATGCCTCTATGTCAAGAATTACCTTATCTGTGTATCCTTTCAATGGAACAGGTGTACCCCACTTGAGATCACGAGTGATACATCGTGGCTTCAGTCCATCCCTCACCCATGAGTTTGTAATGAGCTTAGCATTGGCAGACCAGTTGCCTTCGGATGTAGACTTCTGTAAGAACACCTCGAGGGCTGGTGCTAGCTTGGGAAGGTCTAGGAACAGATGCCTGGAAGTCTTAATGACAGGGGTGTTACTGCAGACTTTACATCTGGGTTTCTGTCAAAATAAAATATATAACAAAAAATATATATATCTCCAGAAAAGATTCTTTAACTCTCTTTATGCCACAGAAATATAGAAATACTAAATGTTTCAAGGATAGAACTGTTTCCAGTGCAAGATTAATCTATATCCCGGGGTTAAAGAGGTTGTCCTAGAGCTAGTCAAGATCGAAAATGGGTAATTTTGCAAAATAAAAGTGTGTTGCACGAAGCAATTGTTCTGCCAAATGTTGCCTATTGTTTCTGGTAAATTGCACGTTTGGCAAACAAGCGACTGTGCAGATATTCAAGTTAAACGCCTTTATGGTTCACAACAGATACTAATTTTTCTACGATTAAATATTAATTTCTTAGTTTCTACAGGAAAGATATTCCACTCTTAACAACATCCTTCTTTATTTGGCATATCATACTATAAAAAGTAAGAATAGCATGATGGATAATATTCAATAATAAAGTTATAAATCAATCCCGATCCCACAAAAGGAGCATATTGTAAAACTAGAACATACACTTGCATGAAATGTTCTCAAATTCACATTTTTTTACAAAGTTACATGCCAAGAAAGAGTTAAATCATAAATGACAAAACACTATGCATTAATAATTCAGGAAATTTTCTTGCCTTAGAAACAGTTGTCATTTATAACTCCACAAATTGTTTTGTTTTACAGTAAACATTACACAGTACAGTCAAAACTGTCTATAGCGACCGCCCAAGGGAAACATAAGAAGTCTCTGCAGACAGGTGGTCTTTGTAGACAGGTTCCTTTCGTACATGTTTCAATGATAAACCATTTTCAAGGGAAACAAAAGAGGTGGTCTTTGTAGACAGGTGGTCTTTGTAGACAGGTGGTCACTAAAGCAGGTTTGACTGTACCACCAAGAAATTGCTACAACTCACTTTAAGGTCTGTTGCATTGATGAGCTTCCCACATTTATCACACTGGTCTCCTCTAGCATCCTCATAACTACAGAGTGGACAGATTCCTTCAACAAAGCGATCAGCTAGAAAGCGGTTGCACTTCTGACACTGGAGCTGTTCTACCGTATCCTCTAGAATATGACCAGCGGCATGCAGACGGTGGAAGATGTCCTGAGCAATCCTGCGTATCAAGAATAAGCACAAAAAAGATACAATGACAGAAACAGTGGTGATGAATTTCAGACTGATGTTTTATATTACACTAATAACAAGATGATTTCAAGAGGAACACAGTTCAGTGCAATTTGTACAGGTATATGGTAATTTTTAAACCTTTATATGTGAAAAAGCAGATAGTTCGATAAATTAGTACAAATCTATAAATGCTTCAGAAAAAAACGTTTTCTTGGCTTTGTCTACTATTCATACATGGTTACCGATGATTTAAAGGAAATTTAAAGTGAAACTCACTCAGTCTGCTTCTGGGTGGTGGTTCTACCAAAGTGGTCAAAATCAATATTGAACCATTTGTAGATGTCTCGATGAAGTGCATGGTATTTGTCACAGATCTGTTGAGGAGTCAACCCTTCTTCTAGTGCCTTGGTTTCAGTAGCAGTCCCATACTCATCTGTACCACAGATGTACAGGGTGTTGTAGTTCCGGAGACGACAGAATCTATCAGCAAATGAACAAACAGAAATCACAGTTTGGTAATAATCACAAGGAACGAAAGTCATCATAAATATCAATTTATATATGATGATATAACAAAAATGTTTGACATATCATCACTTTATACGATCAGATAATTTATAATATTTGAAGAAAATAAACCATATACAAGATAGTCAGTAAGGCATGATGGCTGGCTCAGGGGTTGGGCAGTGGTCTAAAAACCAAGAGGTTCTAGTTTTGGAATCAAGTGGAGATATTGGTGACCTTTGGTAAGGCAATAATCCCTAAATTACTGAATTCTCTGGACTGGATTTATAGTCAATGGTCCACTGGTAACTTATCAATAAGCACATACAGTCAAACCTGCTTTAGTGACCACCTGTCTACAAAGACCACATTTTGTGTTTCCCTTGAAAATGGTTTCTCATTGACACATGTACTAAAGGAACCGGTCTACAATGACCACCTGTCTACAAAGACCACTTTTTGTGTTTCCCTTGGGCGATCACTACAGACAGGTTTGATTGTACTTGATTTCTTTAATGGCAGTGAAATGGGACGTTTAATAGCAACATCAACATTTCTGCTTCAGAAAATGTAATATTTTTCAAGAAGACGAAAAGTGCATCAAGCAGAAGGAAGAAATCATGGCTCACCTTGAGAAGACATCCCCACTGAGAACGCACCCTATGATGGTTCCTAGGTGAGGTACATTGTTCACATACGGAAGAGCGCTGGTAATGAGGATGTTCTTCCCAGAAGATTGAGGTAGTCTGATTCAGGAATGATAATAAATGAAATCCATTCAAAATACATTACAAATTCGGTTTCAGAGAGAGGGTGGTCAGCTAAAAATGATGGCAACAAGAATTTGCCATGCAAGCCATGACAAGGCACCGGTATATATAAAAGTATAAATTTCACTAATATATCACAACTTAACATGTACAAAATCAAGCTTACAGACTTATATGATGTCAATTGTATATCTATTTTGTCTTTCTTTCTCTTTTGAAAGAGAGAGAAAGAGAAAAGAAATGTGGTATATTATTTGCTCACAATATCTTGGAAAAAAAATGGCAAGACTCTTTTATACTGTGTTTACACGATAAGATGATCCATCTGAAGAAAAAACAAATTTCAGCATAACTCCAAATGAATATATGATGCATACAAATATTTCATAAGTAGACTTCATTTGAAGTATAATTAAACAGAACATTTGTGAAGGGGATACTAACACTGGATGAACTCTCTTGGTCAATTTAGGTAATGACTTTCTTCCTCTGGTGAAAGCTGCTTTGGCTGCAGCTACCTCTTCAGGTGGAATGTCCTTTTTGCTCTCATCCTGAAATAAAGGACACAGTTTACATTGGTTTGAACTGGCACAATTATTATTTTTCCGAATTTTCTTTGTCATTTTATCCTCAAGATGTGAATAATGGTTGTAAATCTCAAAGGCAGTGCAATTCATATGTTTTTAGTGATGGTAAGATTTTTCTGGTTGTCTGATTTCTCTTCAGAACATTGAGGTATTTATTTACTGTGCATATCTGTACTTAAAAGGACTTTTTAACATTGTTCAGATGAAAGAAAATGGTGCTAAGGTAGTGATTCTGATGCTAAATGTACAATTAAAGATAATCTGAAAGTTTGAAATTATTGATACAAATTGGGAAAAACTGATCTGATCGATTTCTTAATTCTCCCAACTATACAATGAATTGGCTCTGTAAACCATTCCAGACATTTAAGTGGTGAAAGCTTTTTAAAAAGCCTGTCTTATGTCTTATTTTCATGGAAAAATGGTTAGGAAAATTAAAAAAAGTTGGGAGAATTTACTTTTAGAGAGTGTGGCACAGTGACACCTTCAAAGAAAACCATAAATATCTTAACGCGTTTAGAGAATTTGTTCAGGATTTTTTGCATGTCAGAGGATTAGTACAGTAAAAGGAATGTAATAAGTAACATTACATTATTATGCATTTTCCATCAACTTTCAAAATTGTTACTGAGTCACTTTAAACAACTTGAAGTCCTAATGTATACCTGTCCATCTGAAGCCTGACTAATAGCTGCCTGTTGTCCTCTCTCACGACCGGCATCAGACAGCGGAACCTTGACATGCTGAGACAAGATGGCTTCCTTGAAGGCACTTGCACCCTTCCCTGATGTCACGGTAGCAACACCCTTCTGAAAGCTCTCTTGGGATGCAAGGCCCTGGAACCAGCATTGAAGGTGCTTGTAGTCAGCACAAAGGCTTGGGTTGTCGGTAATGGCTGGGTACAGGGCACACCATACCACAATGTCAGCTGCGGTCAGGCTTGTCTATGTAGGAAAAAAAAATCAAACTTTATTGAGAGTAGACTTCATGGTTTCATAATCCGACATAGTTATTATTCCTTTTGCAAGAATACGTTTAAATCATTGAAACATGAACTTCATAAAATTCCTTGTTTGTTTCTTTATTTGTTTGTCAACATTCATGGCATACACTGTAAAGAATGTGTGATGGATGCATGGGAGGCATAGTATACACTTTTAGCATCTAATGCTACTTGAGTGCAGCCTTTGAACCATTCTTACAGTGAAATGCTGTTTATAGAAATATTTTAAAACAAAGCAGTGTGTGAATTTATTGGATTTAGGCATGATATATTCGCAATTTGAAGTAAGTGTGAACTTTAAGAACAAATAGCACAAAGCCACAAATCTACAATTTTCCTCCTTTGATTGACCAATGAAGTTTTTGATTTTGGGTGAAGAAGTGACAATGAAAGTGATACCTCTAATATTACTACCAACCAGAACCATTTCAACATTGCCAACATTCAGCATCAATGGGGGCATGCAGGTTTTTTTTTACAAAAATGCTTCCGTCTTAAACAAGATATTGAATGTAACTGCGACCCTGTCAAATTTCTTTGCATAAACGTTAGAGGAGCTTGAAAGCTTTGTTTAATTTAATCAATTATGCAAATAATAGAAATTATGGGGAAAACAATTTTCTAGCATAAATTGGGCAAAGGTACTTTCTGTAATGGTTCCATGTTTGTTTAAAAAAAATATAATCACATATAAAATACTTACCCCCACTAAATATTGTTTATTGGCCAGCACATCATTTAATTTGCAGAATGGAAGCTTAAATGGCTCTGCATTCTTCTTTCCGCCTCCAAAGACAGCAGTTAAGTAAGGGGCTAGCAAAGCCTGAAAAAGAGAAAAAAAAGGAAGTCATTGAACGTATCAATTTAAAAATATGTCATTCATACAAGGTAAATTCTCTTTCCTATTTAATGTATTACAGAATTGTCAGTGTTTTGTTAAATACAGCACCAACGCTTATGAATTATTTTGAAAACGTAGACATAAAAACACAAACAAACAAACAAACATACAAATGCTAACATGAAATGTGTCTCAGCCTATTCCTCAAATTGGCAATAGTATAATATTGCTTCCTTATCTTGGCCAGGTAGGGGCTTGCAGAGAAGACACCACAAAGCAGTTTAGGGAAGAAAAAAAATATATACCTCGCATTTTGCAATAAAGTAATCATATCCTATCATGTAAATATAACACTGTGATTTATTGTAAAAGATAAACCTGAGTTTAGGTAAAGAAAGAAATAAGAAGAAGAAATTCCACAGAGTCGAAAGAAACATAAATTTAATATATATTCAAAATTACAAATACATATAATGTGGCAATTGATTTTGGTAATACAGTAATAGCTGATTAATTGGAAAACAGAGATTTAAGGCAACCAAACTGACAATCATGACCAAGAGCAAATACATCAACTAAAATAAATTGTGCATCATTAGTGAATGACATTACAAGCATGTTTTGGCTAGCTTGCTTATGTTTGCAATTAATAACAACCCATCTATGCAATTTAGAATAGATTTAATAGACATTTCCTTTCGAAAATCCAGTTCAATGAAGATAATGATGATGATGATATTATTAGTAGTAGTAGTATTAGTAGTAGTAGTATTAGTAGTAGTAGTAATAGTAGTAGTAGTAGTAGTAGTAGTAGTAGTAGTAGTAGTAGTAGTATCATTATTATTATTATCATTATATACTTAAAACAAAACTATTCTGGATTAATATAGCGCTTGATACATCAACGTTGTCTGTAAGCGCTCTACATATATCATTGATTATTGCATCAAGTTTACAGGAACCTTAAGAATGGAAACATATTAATATCATGTTCCCTCTGACGTACTGTAGCTCATCCATGAAATGAAAACACTTGCCTGTAAGTGAGTACTCTCCCACTCGACCCACTCCTCAACTTTCAACTCCCAAGTTTGCTCAGAGCCGTTGGACAGGATATACCTGAAATGCACCAAAACAAGATAAAGTGATCATTAAAAAAATCAAGAGGAAATATCAAATATGAAGAATATCATATTTAATGCACTACCTACTTCTTTGTAAGTGTGTGCTTTCTAAATGGTGTCTTTATTTACAGCAAATATATCCATTTAAGTGAGTAAATTTCTGTTAAGACAACTTTGCCTGATATGTAAAATATAAGTAGACAAAATTCTCATTGCAACTGCATTCACCATGTTTTCTAAAAAGGAGTAACACCTTTTACTTCATAATAATCTCATTTTTAACTAAAGAAAGATGTTCTGTGACTTCTTAAAATGACCATATCAAGTTGATGACACCATACCTGCAGATGTTGTTTGCTGAAAAGATGTACTCATTTGGTGATATCTCAAGAACTGGAAGTTTGCCCCTCTTCAAGTATGGCACCTTGGAATCTGCAAGCAAACAAATATTTTATATGAATAGCAAGCACAGTATTAGATGCTGCTTGTAAGTGTCGGCTTGCATGGTGATGTAGATATACAGTAGGTTTGTGGGTGCACCATGTGAGAGAGAGAGAGAGAGAGGGTTGAGGACGTTGGGGACTGATCCTTCCACCATCCATCCGTACTACAATCAGTCCCCAACGCCCTCATCTGCCGAGCCCATCAACTCAGCGATGCAGACCATCTAGACCAGGAAATCCAGCATGTCACCACAGCCCTGACTATCATCAACAAATACCCAAGACATAAGATCAAATCCAAGACTCCCGCCAACAAGCCCGCAGCCAACACCACCCCTGAAGAGAACCAACCTGCAGCTACACCACCGAAGCAAACCATTGTTCTTCCCTGTATCGGTCAAGCCTCTCACAAGATTCAACATATCCTTCTAGCAGCAGACATCCAAGTTCGACACAGTTCCTCCAACAAACTCCATTCGATATTCCACTCCCACAAAGACAAGCATCCAAACCACAAGAAAGCTGGAGTCTACAAAATACCATGAGAATGTGGAAAAGTCTACATTGGTGAAACGGGGAGAAATCTGGAAACAAGACTCAAGGAGCACAGAACCAGCTTCAGACTCAGCGATTGGGATAAGTCAGCTATCCTCAAAAACGCCCAGCAAAACGAACACACCATCGAATGGGATAATAGTCATCTCATCTCCATAATGAAGCACTGGCATACTTGCGGAATCCGAGAAGCCATCGAAATTCACCGCCACAACACCGTGCCCCAAGACTCAGGACTATACATCAACGACATCTGGAAACCCCTCATCAACAAGTACCCGGTCACTCCTCCTCCACCATCGCCTCCACCACCGCCCTCACCACCCCGACAGACACCTGTACATCAACCACCGCCACCCGCCAAACCCTCAAAGCAGTCGCCAGCCTCACAGCTACAATACACAGCAGACGACAACAGACTACAACGCCGCCTATGTCGGGGACACACACAGCGTCTCACCGACAGCACACCCCACTCATCAAATCGAAACTCTCCTAAGTCCGCAACCTGGAGACTCCAGCCCAGACGGACAGTCAGACGTACCAGCCGACCATCCACGCCCACTCCCCGATGACTCAAGCCAACACGGTCACCTATTTTCCCCTGATGCCGCACTCCGGTGACTTAAGCTCATGCACGCCAGCCATTCTCTACTCCTGACGACGGATAGCCAACCTGTTCGAAACGTCGAGCCACTCATCCTCTCCAAGCGCTATAGTTCTCCTTAGAACTATATGCTAAGAAAGATAACAAACAGTCCTTTTCAGGACTACCACACCCCTAAGAAAGATTAATGAGTCAGAGTCCTTTTCAGGACTCCTCAACCCTCTCTTTCTCTCTCTCTCTCACATGGTGCACCCGCAAACCTACTGTATAAGCACAGTATTGTCTGAAAAGTCTGATATTCTATCCTATCTTTCAATGAATATGAAACTATATCTTCTTCAAGTTCTTGTTACATTATTCAAGTGATTAGTATAAAAAGGCGTGCTCGCAGGTTGTTCAATAAAATCAGTGAACTTTGTCTGTGTGCCTTAGTATACTAATCTAATCACGATTAAAATTATTGTATCGTACTGTTAGTGTTCACCGTGCGTAGATCCATTTGGATCCGGGCTAACTCGGACCAGGGGACAACTCGGACCAGCTGCAAAAACGGTCATTTTTTGTCATTTTAGCCTAACTCTAACCCTAACCCTAAACCTAACCCTAAACATGCAAAAAATGACCGTTTTTACAGCTGGGCCGAGTTTTCCCCTGGTCCGAGTTAGCCCGACTCCATCTAGACATCTAGATCTATTTGCATTTCAAGCAGAACCAACATCGAAAACTCTCGGAAGGTTCAGCTTTTTTGTAATATAAATCGCATTGCTAGCTCATTATCATCAGGAACACAAGGAAGATATGCAGATCGCTATCTCTACAGTACAAGGCTCAAAATACATGGGGCCTTGGGCGATTCGCCCCCGTGAGCTCCGTCAGATTGCTCACAATGCCAATGGGATAGCAAAATTAAAAATCACCCCACAGTGGAGTTATAAAATATAGATCTAGATCTAGGTCTAGATCTAGATACCGGGGGGGGGGGGGTGATCATTTCCCTTAACTTTCACACAATATTGAGTTCCAACTTCTCTTAGTCTTGAGACTAGAGTCGGAGTTTCAGCTCGCGGGCACGCCTTAACTGTGTATCGCCTATCTGAAAGTACGAGATCGAAATAGTTATCGGGGAGATGCAGTCCGCCCGCGCTAGCTAGAGTGCGAGGCCGCGAGGCTGCTGCAGCGGAGCAGTGCCGCAGCGGCGCGGTAGTGCAGCTGTTATCTAATTTGTACAACTACAGGTCTTAGTTACTTTATAAGCTCACCTGTAATACTCGTAAATTGAATCTCTAGCTTCAGATTAGCTAAAGCAGCAGCAACTACTGCTTTTAGAGTATGTTGATTTCCTGGATCAGAATATATCTTCATCTTAGCAAATGTTAATTTTGACACATGAACAGAATGACGAAACTTACCCGAAATATACTAGTCTTTTTCAAGGAGGACATTAAATATCCTCTCTCACAATATGCTGATAAACTACTTGTAATCCTTTGTTGAAGAGGAGGGGGTGTGAAGCGATGTCTTATCCACATGACCACGTTGCTTCATTGATATTAACTTGTTCGGTTCAAGATGTTAACACTTTCTGATATTAATGACTTTAAACAAATATGCTGATAAACTTCTTGTACTCCTTTGTTGAGTAGGAGGGGATGTCCCCTAAACAAACAAAAAAGAGAAGAAAAAAAAAACGCGAGGTAGAGAGGCGTAGCAGGGAATCGAACCGAGTACATCTGCATTGTGAAGCGATGTGTTATCCACAAGACCACTGTGCTTCACTGATATTAACTTGTTTGGTTCAAGATGTTAACACTTTCTGATGTTAATGACTTTAAAAAATATGCAGATAAACTACTTGTACTCCTTTGTTGAGGAGGTGGGGGAGACCCCTGTAAAAAAAAAAGGACAAATCAATAGGAAAATAAAAATCCTTAAAAAAACACGAGGTAGAATGGCATAGCCGGGAATCGAACTGAGTACATCTGCATTGTGAAGCGATGTCTGATGTTAATGACTTTAAAAAATATGCTGATAAACTACTTGTAATCCTTGTTGAAGAGGAGGGGGTGTCCCCTAAACAAAAAAAAAGAGAAGGACATAGCCGGGAATCGAACCGAGTACGTACATCTGCATTGTGAAGAGATGTCTTATCCACACAAGTCCACTGTGCTTCACTGATATTTACTTGTTCGGTTCAAGATGTTAACACTTTCTGATGTTAATGACTTTAAAAAATATGCTGATAAACTACTTGTAATCTTTTGTTAAAGAGGAGGGGGTGTCCCCTAAACAACAAAAAAAGAGAAGGACAAATTAATATGAAGAAAAAAATGATTAAAAAACGCAAGGTAAAAAGGCATAGCCGGGAATCGAACTGAGTACATCTGCATTGTGAAGCGATGTCTTATCCACAAGACCACTGTGCTTCACTGATATTAACTTGTTCGGTTCAAGATGTTAACACTTTCTGATGTTAATGACTTTCAAAAATATGCTGATAAACTACTTTTAATCCTTTGTTGAAGAGAAGGGGGTGTCCCCTAAACAAAAAAAAAGAGAAGGACAAATCAATAGGAAGAAAAAAAATGATTAAAACAAATAGAGGTAGAAAGGCATAGCCGGGAATCGAACCGAGTACATCTGCATTGTGAAGCGATGTCTTATCCACAAGACCACTGTGCTTCACTAATATTAACTTGTTCGGTTAAAGATGTTAACACTTTTTGATGTTAATGACTTTAACGTCATCACAGTTAGCCTGTTCTAATCCCTGCCACCATATAGGTCCAAGCTGCCACACACACTAGACATGTGGAATTGTGTCAATCAATTAATTTACTTAAATCCCCAAATTGGCTCCATTGCCATAAATGGTAAACTTCCACTAATCCAAGGAAACCTTGACGCTTTTGATTTGATTAGCTGTTGAGTGATGGATTAATAATGGGCTTGGTATGGCTAACCCTTAAAGGTAATACAACGTTTTGGTATTGGGTCAAGAATTTGGTTCAAATGAACATATTGGAAGCATATGCGATCTTACAATATTCAGAGATAGTACTGTTGTCGCGGTTGAAATCGAATCTAAAATTATGAAATTGTAAATAGTAAACTCTTCATGTTGTATAGCTCCCTCTCAATGTCAATATATTAATTAAGCTATAAAACAATGTTTCTTGACAAAAATCGACCGATTAGCTATTCTCGTTTGGAAATTATATATCACAACTACATTTTCTGAGATTTTCATGGTCGCAGCTACCTTAGCACGGCCGTAGGCGCTATTTGAAATTCATCAAAATTTACCGGGAGCACCGGTAAATTTTTTAATTCAATTTTTCTCGAAAACATAAGTTTTTTATTGGCTAAATTTTCTAGTGCTTATAATACATCCACAGGGGCATCCAAATATATCAAAATCGTAAAGATTCACTATCCACCCAATTTCAAAATTTCCCAAAACTTTGTATTACCTTTAATCCAGTTATTATTTTTTAGGAGGGGGGAGGGGGGCCGGAGGCAAACGCTCAGATCTATCAGAAATACATTGGTCCAATCATCACTAATTACACACAAACACTAGTTTGAAGCCTATTCTAACATCATTTTTTATATTTATTTATTGGGGCAAATGGAAATTGAATAAGTGTTAAATTAAATGCTTTAATTTTTTTTAAAGGGAGCGCAGTACTATAGTCGAACCGAAATCGAAAACAAACCATATAATCTCGTACATTCAATGAGTACGCAGGGGCAGCGGAGTGACTTCCAAAGTGGGGAGGGGGAGGCACTTTCTGTGAAAAAAGGGGCACCTTTGTTGGTATATACCCCTACAGTGTCATAACATTATCAAGTATGATTTCAATATTTGTTTCGATATTGCTTGAGTATCATATTATCAGAAGCGGATCTAGAGGGGGGGGGGGGTTGGGGGGGGGGGGGGTTGCAACCCCCCCAAAAAAAATCCGGGGACCATTTTTTTAAAATCTTATCTTTTTTTTTAAACGTGTAATTTTATTTTATTCTATTTCTATGTATTTATTTCATTTATTATTATTATTATTATTATTATTATTATTATTATTATTATTATTATTATCATTATTATTATTATTTCTTTTTGGGGGGAGGGGGGGGGGGGGGGGGGTTGGGCGAACAAATGTCACAGAGTCCCTTGCCCCCCCCCCCCATCAGCTTTTCTGAGGACACGGGCCACCGCCGAAGTGACAAGCTAGGCCAGCGTTGCCGATTCTCATCCCCAAAATCCCCACATTAAAAAAAAAAAAAAAAAAAAAAAAGGAAAAAAAAAAGAAAAAAAAAAAAAAAAAAAAAAAAGAAAAAAGAACGCACGCTGGAGAGAAACCCTTTCAAGTGCAAATATTGTGAGAAGATATTCAACTCATCTGGTAACTTAACCAAACACATGATAACTCTGGATATAACTGTGTATTTAACTGTTACTTGATTTAAAAAGACGTTATCATGCACTGCTTTTTATGGTCTCCATTGTGTTAATAGATGCCAGGAAAACATCACTTACGGGGTTCAAATAAACACCCCAAAAAAATCGGCTCGCCGCTTCGCGGCTCGTGGACGATGCTCCGCATCGTCATTATTGGTCAACCCCCCCCTGAGCAAAAAGCTAAATCCGCCCCTGTATTATGCAGATATGGGTGTCACGGTCTGAAAAATTCATTTACTGGCAAGTGAAGCGAGCAAGGAAAAATTATAAGATTTGTGAGGTCGCAGTAAAAAAAAAAATCCTACACATTCTCATAAAAGAAGACTGAAAAGACCTTTAATAAGTACCATGATTATAATCTATAAATGCCTGCGAGCTTTGGGGTAATTACTCTTTATAGTCACTTAAAATTAGGGGCACGTTTAATGATGACATGAAAAGGGGACACTTATGAAAGGGATAAGATAAGTATTAGAAAAGAAAAGGAGAATGTTGTGTCGACGTACAAAGGGTTATTATCACAGGTGAAAATATACACACAAAAAAGGCACTCACCATGCGGGGATGAAAAAGGGTACTAATGAGATTGGGAAATGGGCATTTTGTCGACGGAAACTTGAGGGGCACCCGTCAGATTTGTTATAAGAGGGCATTTATAAGAGGTGAAAGGGGACATTTTAAAGGGGATAGCTCCCTTATTAAAAAGGGAAAGGGGCACGTATCGTTGTTAAAAGGGAAATTATCCGAGGTGAAAAGGGGGGTAATTATGAAAAGGGGAAGGGGCGCGTGTCAAAATAAAAGGGGCAGTTATTAGAGGTGAAAAGTCACACTCATCAGAGATGAAAGGAGCACTTATCAGAAGGGAAGGGGTACCTGTAAATTAAAGTAAAAATAGTATCTTCTCAGATTTGTAAAGAGGCAATTTGACCCCTTTCATAAATTTGATAATTATATAGATACATCCCTATAATCTAGCTAATATATTTTCCCCCGCTGCCGTCACCTTCGCCCCTCTCGTTCTCTATGCTCCCTCGTCCCTCGCACCGGTGGATTGATGGGGGGCTTGGCGCTTGGGGGCAATTACTCCCCTGAAGTCAAACGGAGTAAATTATCTTAACTGAAAAGGATTATTTACCAGAGGTGAAAAGTGGCATTTATGAGAAGGGGAAGGGGCCCTTTTTTAAATGGGGGCACTTATTCAGGAAAGGACTCACGGGACACTTCTCACTGAAAGGAAAAGGGGCACTTGTCAAAGTAAAAGGGCACCTCTCAGATTTTAATAGGGCAATTATCAGAGGTGAAGGGGGCATTTCTCGTACCCGAAAAGGGGCAATTACTAGAAATATAGAGGGGCACATATGACAATGGAAAATGGACACTAAAGGGGGCCGGGGCACTATTACAAATTAAAACGGCACTTGTCGAAGTTAAAGGGCACTTTTCCTATGTCAAAAGGAGCGCTTCTTTCAAAGTTAAAGCCGAGCCCTTTTCCTATGTAAAAATAAATCATAAAGAAATATAATCACAAAAAGATCAATGGAACGGGGTCACTCATGCAGTTCTAGCAGGGGGGGGGGGGAGGGGGTTGCTGATTCGGCCCCACCTGGATCCGCCACTCTTATAGTATTTTGGTTTTCCTTCCGCTTTTCTTATACAAAAAGATTATGTTATTTTTTTTAAATCTATATTTCTAGCTAGGCTTAAACAAAAACAAATTAAATGTTTTATTCTTCGTTTTTATTCTTTGACCATTTTTTCATTTCTCACTTTCTTGCGAACACACAATCACTTTTGTGTAATACGCCGCGCCGCTTTCTTCTCGGTTTATCTTCACACTGCGGTCTAGAAAGCGTCAAGCGAATCGGTCAAGAAAACCACACTACCCGACATGCAACAAAAATCATCAATATAAAAAGTAACAAAACAAAACACAGAAAACAAAAAAATATATACATGTATACAAATCCTTTGGAATTCTTGTAATTAATGTAAACGACTTTTTTTTCAAAATACGGCATAGTTTGTAATACCATGTTATATTTTATTGACTCGTAATCTGTTTATAAATTAATCCTGCAAGTGAAAAGTAGTTATTAAATTTTAGACAATTTGATTTGTGGAAAATAGCCATTACAGTTTCGGAAGCTAATAAAACAAGTAATAATATGATCTTGGATCCACATAGATCCACACTTGATATACCATAATTTGTTTATACATTATTATAGCATAATTATTAATATAATATTCAATTTCTTGTTAAATAATAAACTCCGATCGGAATTAATATAGCATTTAAATACACCAGCTAAATACTAATAAACGAATAAATACATTTCATACTGATAACAAATGATGCCAAACATAAAATTTGAAAGGCTTCAATGTAGCGCTTTGAACTTCGAAACGCTTTTCAAGTTGGTATCTGGAGTTGGATGGAGTCTCTTAAAGGTATTACAAAGTTTTGGGAAATTTGGAAAAATGGGTGGATAGTGATTTTATACAATTTTGATATATTTGGATGCCCCTGTGGATGTTTTTAAAACATCAGAAATTGTAGCCCCTAAAACACTTCTGCCTTCGAGAAAAATTGAATATAAAGATTTACCGGTGCTCCCGGTAAATTTTGATAAATTTCAAATAGCTCCTACGGCCGTATAATGGTAGCTGCGACCATGAAAATCTCAGAGTTTATAGTTGTGGTATATAATTTCCGAGCGAGAATAGCTAATCGGTCGATTTTAGTCAATAAACATTGTTTTATAGCTTAATTAATATCTTGACCTTGAGAGGGAGCTATTCAACTTAAAATGTTTATTATTTACAATTTCATAACTCTATTGTCGATTTCGACCGCGACAACGATCACTGAATATTGTATGATCATATATGTTTCCAATATGTTCATTTGAACCAAATTCATGACCCCATACCAAAACTTTGTATTACCTTTAATGCCTGGATTACATTTGGCCTGCGATTAGTCTACGGAGCCCGTATCCTGCTCGTATCCCCTTTTCCGTGCGGCCCCTGTGCGGTGGCAGGAGGCGGCCGTGAGATTTTCGTACGGATTCACGGGCTCCGCAGCCTAATTTACGATTTTGTTTCGCGAGAAGTTAAACAAATTTGAAAAAATCGTAAGCCCGTAGCCCGTAAAGTGGTATTGCACAATCCCCGCACGGGCATCGCCCGGAGGCCTCGCACTGATTGTGCAGCAAACGTACGATTTTTTCGGTGAACACGGGAAAAAAGAAAATCGTACGGAGATTGTAGACTCATGGGGCATTCGCATGCACGGCAATTGCACAGCGATCGCAAGGTTGCTGTACGGTCACCGCGCCTTCTCCGCGCAACCTTTGCACGCCAAGGTGCACGGGCTCCGTATGATTTCCGTGCGGAGGCTGCGGAGACTGCACGGCTACTGCATGCAAATTGCACGATTTCCGTACAATCTCCAAAAGCCTCTATACGGATTTGCCCCGGCCTGCCCCGAGGGCCAATACAATAAATGGCACGATGCTCATAGATAATGTAAAGACAAACATCGTAGCCCGTAGCCTCCTACGATGTCTATGAAAAATCGTAGACTAATTTATCGTACGGCGCCCGGGGCAAATGTAATCCAGGCATTAGTTAGGCTTTGATTTGAAATTATTTTCGCAGCTCGCTTTTCAGTTTATTATTATTATTTTTTGTTTTCATATCGATTCGACAACACAGAGAAACCAAATTTAAGCAACATCAGTGCATTATTTTAAGCTTGAAAGATATTAATGGTAAATATTCCTTTTTGCCTGTATATATTCCGTTATATGCACCGACATAATTGCGTTATACTTCTTGGTTATACTTTTGTTACTTCGTACACCAAGACATTTTGCGGTATTTGCTCATTTATAGAGACATAGAAGGATATGTGCTTGAAATGTTGACTGATTCCATGATAAAACCACTCGTGTATGGCGTAGCCTATACGGGAATGACGACGGGGCACCACGGTTGCCACGGATTGGTGAAGAAAAAAATATGTACAAGAGGGAACTTGAGAGAATTAAGGGAAAAGGGGGGACGAAAAAGGAAGACGCCCGAATCAAATCCCGCATCGAAAGTTTCAGCTTTGCATTTCATTGTCGGAGCCGAGCCTTCCCCCCCCCCCCCCCCCCTCAGCTCAATAATTTGTGGCACTCGGCCTATCACAACCACAATAGGTTGTTTCTAAATTGCATAAATCCATGCTGTTATCATTCCGTTTCAGCACGAACAAGAAGTAGACACGCTACAAAAAGAACTACATGTGTATAATGCGTCTAGAACAAGACTAATATTTTGATAATGGAAGATTAAAATATGATTTCTACAATTCAAATCTCTTTAAATTATCGGAAATTTATGAAATAGATTAATTTAATTTAACAAATTGTTTTAATTGATAATTGCATAAGTAATGGATGAACATTAATGCGTTTATATTTATGACGAATCAAAGAAAGCATGATCTGTGTTATTTAAGACCGGGGGTGCTACTGTCATTTTCATATTCATATTATCTGATGAAACCACGTCGCCTGTGTTTGAAAAGGATTTTGTTTACATGTTAGCTCCAATAAATTTGTCAAAATATAAAAACAACAATAATTATTCATCTTTTACCCCAATTTTCATTTTGAATTATTCAATCAAAGAATTGAGCCCTGTTTTGTGTTTTAAAAGAATCCCATTACTTTAAGCTAGGCACCCCCGTATCATTCATTGTCAAATTCGTGATTTTTTGCAAGCAAGACTGTCGGAGTGAGTTCCTTTAAAAAATTACATTTTTCGTACATATGGGTAGTGTTATATTTATTTGTAAACAATTCTTTTAAAATGATGTAGTTTACTTAATTATTTGAGATTCATAGCGTGTGATGTTTGTGTTATTCGTAGAATTTAATTTAAATTCAAAAGTGTCATCAATATGGACAGTACGTCGTGAGTTTATAAGGAAACGCGTGCACAAAAGTCAATGTGTTTTTACACGTAGGATGTTTGGGAGTCGGGATGTACATGCAATTCAATGCTCCTTCCTCATGCTAAAGCAGGGCTCCCACTTAGCCGAGTTGGAGCCTCGAGTTGTGGCGAGCTGGCGCAAGCTTATGGCAAGCCGTTTTATCATAAAATCAAGAAATAATTTTACGCAAGAATTGAATTCGTGATATCAAGAATTTGATTTCGTGATATTAAGAATTGAATTCTTGATATCAAGAAATAGATATGTTTTAATTATAAAACGGCTAGCCATAAGCTTGCGCCATCTCGCCACAATTTCGAGGCTCCAACTCGGCTAAGTGGGAGCCCTGCTTAATGCTTAGTGCTATCCGCTAGTGCTAGGTATAGATGTAGACCGAAATTTTCTGTCTCTTTCGTTCGTTAGCCTCTGATTTGGGTAGGTCGGCTCTCTCTTTAGAGACGGAACAGCCCTAGACCCTATACGCTGTAGTGGACGCGTGTTTGTGTAAAGAAACGTTACACAAAACTTGGCCAAACTTAATCCCTAATTTTGATATTTTACCAGATGCATTTCCGATGTATTTATATCCCTAAATTATCTACATGCTTAACTACTTCGGTTCCACTTACCAACTTGACTACTTCAATCCGTTTAATGGTCCCTTTTCAGGAAATTATGGGTCAAGATCGACATCCATGAAGAAAATCTTGCAGCCGGGTTGCGTCTCTTGTAGTCTACGCTGAAGGCAAAATGATTATAACGAAAAAACTGCATGTCATTACGAACTCGTAGCTCGTGCACAGTTTTTCCGTTATAATCATTTTGCCTTCAGCGTAGACTACAAGAGACGCAACCCGGCTGCAAGATTTTCTTCATGGATGTCGATCTTGACCATAGAGATATATACTATGATCTTGACCCATAATTTCCTGAAAAAGGACCATTAAACGGATTGAAGTAGTCAAGTTGGTAAGTGGAACCGAAGTAGTTAAGCATGTAGATAATTTAGGGATATAAGGCGCCACGGATTTATTCAACTGGCATTCGGAATGCATGTAGAATGCATGTAGAATGCCCTATTCAGAATCTATTGTTCCGTTAATCCACATTCCAGAATGTACCTAGAATGTACCTAGAATGCGGTAATTAACGACTTAATTGGCGCATTCTGGGTGCATTCTGGATTGCTCCATGAATAGGCCATCCGAACAAAGGCGATATCGATCGGCAGCGACTACCTTCTTGATATTGCGTGCCGGAATAGTTTCGATATAGAATGAACCATAAGAATTGATAGAAATCAACAGATATTTAATTGGTTTCGCTTCTGTCTCTCCCGCGATCGGTCGCTCTTTGCATTTCTCGAGCGCAGGTGATAATGGACTTACTTTTATTTCTTTCCGACGGCTAACCGGTAACATCAGCGATATTTAATTGTTTTCGCTTGTAGCTCTCTTTCTCTCACTATTTATTTCTCAAGCGTCGGTGATATTGTAATTGATTTTCTTTCTTTTCTTCAGCTTATTAAAGATGGTGAAAAGAGTAGAAGAAAGATTGAGAAAGAATGAAGACAGATTTATTATGACATTCCCGCCAGACCGCCACAAATATGTTCTGAGTCGGCGCTCTCAGAACAAAGGCGCGTTGCAGTGTCAAATATACGCGGTGTTTTGAAACGTTGGTGTTGATTGACATGATGCCTCATTAAAGATGGTAAAAAGAGTAGAAGAAAGATTGAGAAAGAATGAAGAAAATATTTTGCATGAAAATGCGGATGAATCTGAATGATCAAAATGAGAGGAAGAAAGAGGATGCAAGAGATGGTGGGTGTTGAAAGATCTGAGGACTAATGAAATGATACATTTAGATAAAAAGCGAGAGTGGATATTTGTGGTTACCATCTTATTTTTAAACTTTTTTTTATTGGCAGGGATGGGGGTCCGTTTTTTGTTTGTTTTTGTTTTGTTTTTTTTTGGCCAGGGAGGAAGCGGCCTGGCCCCGTTGCCCCCCCCCCCCCCTCCATGCGTCTGCGCCTGAAGGAAAGCACATATGTCGTTTCGAATAATCTTATTTCCAAACCGAGACGGACATTATTTTGTTTGTGGTCTGTGCTTATATGTTGTGTATAATTTGTTTGTTAAGCGCACACTATCCTACCTTACCCCTCCCCCACCCCCTTTTTTTTTACATCACCTACTTCATCAACCCTCTCTAATTTTTTAATTCCATCTCTTACAAATAATGATTTTTTTTTTGTTGGACTTATATCATTTTTTTTAACGGAATTTCATAAAGATTGTAGAGGGTGTGATTATTTATTCCAAAACAAATAGAGAGAAGGTCATATATAGATCAGTAGATAGTGGGGGGGGGGGGAGATGAAAATTAAGTGAGCCGGAGGGGAATTGCAGAGAACGAGGGAAAGAAAGAGAATGCAAGAGACTAATTGTAGTCTTTTTTATATATATTAGAAAAACAAGATTTCTTATTTCTTATTTCCAATCTAAATGGTCCGCATGCTCTAATAATTGAACAATGTTATCTCACGCCACATGGCATGTGCACAACAACATGACATGTGCGCAACAACGACATACAAATAATGACAGATTTATTATGGCATTCCCGCCACAAATATGTCGGCGCTTTCAGAACAAATGCGCGTAACAATGTCAAATATACGCGTGTTTTAAACTTTGGTGTTGATTGACATGACGCCTCATTTTAGATAAGAAGGAGACAGTGTTTATTCGAGATTGAGATGGATTTATTATTATCGAGAGAGAGAGAGAGAGAGAGAGATTACAGGTGTAAATTGGCCGTATGCCTATAACAATCCTAAAATGTTGGAATTTTTTGTAATACACAAATGTTTTTGTCATCGGAAATAATTGCTCCTCACCATGGCATTTGACCATTCGCAACAAGGACATTCAAATAATGACAGATTTATTATGACATTCCCGCCACATGTCGGCGACCTCAAAACAATCGTAAATATCGCGGTCTGTTCGAACTTGGGTGTTGATAACAACATTTCCAAGATACAGTCATCAATCCAACTTTCATATCCCCACCAATCTTTCGTGGTCGGGGGAAGGAGGGGGGGGGGGGAGGAGGGGGGGGGAAGGAGGGGGGAGGTGGGGGGAGCATCATCCATTGATATTTTGTTGGTTCCTATCTAGTGAACTTAAATTGACAGTCGTAATGGATAACACTAGGTCTGAACCGTGAAACTACGAGACGTCCGGTAATATGAATACAAGTGTATCTATATATGGCACAGATAGCATAACATAATATCGGCCTTTAGAGTTATTGGACTGATCCCGCACCGTAATGTGCCCCTATAAAGAAATACGGGGTTCTCGAGCAGGGACATTTGATAAGTCTGCGGGCACATACACTATATATTGAAAGATATGAAAGATATATCTTGAAAGTTTTTTTCTATGCAGGGAGATGTGAGATTCCCCTGGTCTATAGATGGTTGTTTCGAGAGGTACAGTACATGACGTATTGCAGTCTCTTAAATCAGACTCTATTTTATGTATTACGACTGACAAGGGCTTTTGTCTGCGAGCTAATTTTGATCGAGGTAGAGTAGACAAGATAGAGAGAGATATACGTGTATTGTAGGCCTGAGTGAGACACAGTGGCCCGAATTCACAAAGCAAGGTTTGAGCTCAAACCTCCTTTTGTTTCGCTAAACCTCCTTGTTTGTAAATAACAAATGGAGGTTTGAGCTCAAACCTTGCTTTGTGAATTCGGGCCAATTTGTTTTGTTGTAAACTTTCAATAATATCGGTTGCGTGTCTTTCTTTCTACAATTGCAAAGTGATAACGTATTAAACCCAGTCTATTCAATTATAAGGCGCACTATTTATGCCCGAATCGGGAAACAACAGACCTGTTCAGCCTACGCGTTGGCTCCGGTGAATAGCCAAACAAAACCGGTTTTGCATCAGGGGTGGGTTATTGAATGGCTGTTTTCGCATCCCGCAATTAAGGCCTTTGTTTTGTTATCTGTTCTTGTTTATCGGATCGTTTTTCAAACTTTCATGAATACGTTCCCCTGATTTTGTTTGCTTTTCTTTAAAGCAAATAGATTGCACATTTATTTTAATTAAGTACAATTTATAAATGCCAAGTCTCAGATGTTTCATATATATTCCCATCAATCTTTCGGGGGAAGGGGGGGGGGGGGAGCATCGTCCATTGATATTTTTGGTTTCCTAGGGAACAGTCGTAATGGATAACACTAGGTTAAATATCCGTGAAACTACAATTTTCATATTCCCATCAATATTTCGGGGTTGGGGAAAGGGGGGGGGGGGGTAATTACGAGCATCGTCCATCGATATTTTTTGGTTTCCTAGTGAACTTTAATTGACAGTTGTAAGGCCCCCAAAAATCATTTAGTTGTCCTCGATTGCTTTTCTGGAGTAGGGGCGGGTGGGCGGAATTTTTTTCCTTCCCCATTAAAAAAAAAAAAAATCCATAAAAAAGTAAAATAATTGGGAAGTCAGGCATTTAAACAAACAAAGTCTATAAAACATTTTAATATGGTAAAAGACTAGTTTCCCATGTGACGGAGCGATTTCGGTTACATCGCCAGTAATGGAAAATATGGCGGTGCTTTCTACTTTCATTGCTCATTGCGCATCATTCAGTCAATTTCGTGATATGTTTGTAAATATACAAATGAAAGTTCGGACTTTTTTATTTCTAAAAATATAAGTTTTGTTCATCAATACGAAAAATAAGGTCCATTATTTTTTTAGGGAAATTGCCGTCTTATTTTGCTGAAGCTTCTCGTCTTTCCTTCTCAATACACTCACAATACAAATTGCGTAAGATCGGTTGATACCTCCATTGTTCAATTGATTCATTCCCCCATTGTCAATGATTGTCGTCTGCTGAAGCTCGGCCGATTATCAACCGAGCCATAAATAATAGGCCTAAGCCTTCGTTTTAAATGGGTTTTATAAAAAAAAAATTGTAACGATATTCTGACCAACATTATGCCATGATCTACACGAAATGCCCTTTCTTTTAAATGTGCAAATCAAATATAGGACTATTTGGGAAATGAATTTTGAGATAAAAAACAAAAATAATATTTACTTTGAATACTTTTGACTTCGTTTCTCATAATTTGAAATATTAATTTTGCCATCTAAAAAAGGCCGTCGTGTGCCTTACCATATTACCATCTTACCACTATTGCCTAAATATATTTTATAAAATAAAATGACACGCAAATCCCATTTATCAGGATAACCACTGAACAGCTAGACTTGTTTGGGTTATCCCCTCGTGAGAATTCAATTTATTTGTCTTCGTCTTCATCTGTGTTCTCGTTCAACCTATCTTGTCAATAAAACTTGGTTAATCCTCGTTTCATGATCAGTTCTGTAGATGGCATGTACATGACTGTATACATGAAGTGATGATGATGGCGATGATGATGCTTACAATATTGTAATAGAATAGTAATGATAATAGAAATTAATTTCTTCATCTTGCAATCGCTTGTCTTTATTGCCAAAAAACTTGTTTTTTTTTATGTTGCCTTGCTTTTGTTCCCTTTAAAAAAAATCTCATATTCGTGGCTATACCTATTACTCAAACCTGCTCTTAAATGGCTACATGCCCTCGTAAAGGTAAATAAGTTAGAGTGGTAGTTTGTATTGTCATGTAGTTTGACCTACGTTTAGGCCTACATCCTCTTCTTTCAAAACGGTAATCTTCCAGAGTAGTTACTTCTTTACATTCGTTTGTTCCTCTTATTGTGGGATCCGGTCCAGGCAGCTGAGATAAGCGTTTCATAATAGAGGAGGTCCATACATGAATGATTCGCTAAATTGATCAAGTTGATAACATGAAAAGCGTATTGTCAAGAGTTCCGACACTGGTAATTACAGGGGAGAAGAATTACCAAGTCAGGGGTGGTTTATTTAATGGCTATTTTCACACCCCGCAAAGGCTTCTGTTTTTGTTTATCGGATCGTTTTTCAAACTTTTATGAATGTTTCCCATGATTTTTTTTGCTTTCCTTTACAAAGCGAATTTCCACCACAGGGTTGGATTGCCCATTTTTTTTAATTAAGTATAATTTATGAATGCCAAGTCTCAGATGTTTCATATTCCCATCAATCTTTCGGGGGAAGGGGGGGGGGGGGACATCGTCCATCGATATTTGTTGGTTTCCTAGGGAACAGTCGTAATGGATGTCGATGTTAATACTGAATAATTATGATGTTCCCACTGAGTAAAATACGTCCTTTGCCTCCACCGTTAAATCTTTCCCTTGCATTTATTGAACGTGTAGTGTAATTTACTTGACACCCAGTTGATTTGAACGAAAGCAAAAAAAGGCAACAACAACAACAACAACAACAAAAGAGAGAGAGAAAGAGATTGATGATAGTTTGACCGAGTTTGAAGAATTTGAAATAAAGCGGCCGCAACTTTTTTAAGGGAAAATGGAAACGTACTACCAAGATATTTGTTTTTCTTCAATTAGGAGACAACGTGTTTCCGCTGTTATCAACTTCAGAAAATCAGAAGTTGAGAGAACGAATGTTATATCTTGTTTAAAAAGATAAATAAAAATAGCTCTTACTCCTTCTAAAAGTGCTCCGTGCTGTCAATATAAAATGATACCTATTCATATTCCAACACTATGCCGGCAGAAATTTGAAAAGACAAACAATTTATTTTATATAAATGTAATCTTTTTCGAGCGGGAAAATACTTGTATTAGAACTCGTTCGTAGCGTCAAAATTCATTTTACCGGGGAAGAAATAAAGCGGCCGCAACTTTTTTATTGGAAAATAGAAACTTAATACCAAGATATTTTTTTCCTTCAATTAGGAGACAACGTGTTTTCGCTGTTATCAACTTCAGAAAATCAGAAGTTGAGAGAAAGAATGTTATATCTTGTTTAAAAAGATAAATAAAAATAGCTCTTACTCCTTCTAAAAGTGCTCCGCGCTGTCAATATAAAATGATACTTATTCATTTTCCAACACTATGTCGGCAGAAATTTGAAAAGACAAACAATTTATTTTATATAAATGTAATGTTTTTCGAGCGGGAAAATACTTGTATTAGAACTCGTTCGTAGCGTCAAAATTCATTTTACCGGGGAAGAAATAAAGCGGCCGCAACTTTTTTATGGGAAAATAGAAACGTAATACCAAGATATTTTGTTTCTTCAATTAGGAGACAACGTGTTTCCGCTGTTATCAACTTCAGAAAATCAGAAATTGAGAGAACGAATGTTATATCTTGTTTAAAAAGATAAATAAAAATAGCTCTTTTTCCTTCAAAAGGTGCTCCGCGCTTTAAAAAATGATACTTATTCATTTTCCAACACTATGTCGACAGAAATTTGAAAAGACAAACAATTTATTTTATATAAATGCAATCTTTTTCGAGCAGGAAAATACTTGTTTTAAAACCAGCTTGTAGCGTCAAAATTCATTTTACCGGGGAAGAAATAAAGCGATCGTAACTTTTTTTTCTTGGGAAATGGAAACGTAATTCCAAGATTTTGTTTCCCTTCAATTAGGAGACAACGTGTTTTCGCCGTTATCAACTTCAGAAAATCAGAAGTTGAGAGAACGAAAGTTATACCTTGTTTAAAAGATGAAAAAAAAAATAGCTCTTACTCCTACTTACTCCCGCGCTGTTTATATAAAATTATACTTATTCATATTCCAACACTATGTCGGCAGAAATTTGAAAAGGCAAACAATTTATTTTATATAAATGCAATCTTTTTTCGAGCAGGAAAATACTTGTATTAAAACCAGCTCGTAGCGTCAAAATTCATTTTAACGGTTAAGAAATACAGCGATCGTAACTTTTTTTTATTGGGAAATGGAAATGTTATTCCAAGATATTTTTCCCTTCAATTAGGAGACAACGTGTTTTCGCTGTTATCAACTTCAGAAAATCAGAAGTTGAGAGAACGAATGTTATACCCTGTTTAAAAAGATAATTAGAAATAGTTCTTACTCCTTCTAAAAGTGAGCCGCGCTGTCGAACCTTATGAGGTATAGTCGCATTTGAAATCACGCATCTCTGATTAATCGCCAGCGTCTCCGGCATGCTTTTTCATCGCCCAATTCTCAAAAGTCCATGCGTTTTGCGCCTTTTGTCTAGAGAACAAAGGGGCATTCCAGAATGCATTCCAGAATTCGTACAGAATGTGCGCATTCTGGAATGCCCCTTTGTTCTCTAGACAATAGGCGCAGGTCGCATCGATTTTTTGAGAATGTGGCTAGAATGTGCGCATTCTGGATACATTCCAGAAAGATTAACAAGTGCATTCCGAATGCATTCCGAATGCCAGTTGAATAAATCTGTGGCGCCTAAGTACATTGGAAATGCATCCGGTAAAATATCAACGCGCGTCCACTACAGCGTATAGGGCTGTTCTGTCTCTAAAGAGAGAGCCGACCTACCCAAATCAGAGGCTAACGAACGAAAGAGACTGAAAAATTCGGTCTAGGTATAGATGTAGACTCTATCAGGCCAGGCCAGGCAAGACGTTGTTTGTCCAGACAGGTGGTGTAGATTATGTGGAGAGTTGATTTGAAATAGTAATTTAAAGAAATTGACATGCAATATTTCTTTTCATTTCATCTTTAAGAATAAGACTGATTTAACTTAAGACTTTATGAAAGTACAAATATTATGGCGCTAGCCGCTCAGCTCAGCGCTAGAGTAGAGGCGCCAGCGGAGTAGCGGCTCAGCTCAGCGCTAGAGCCACTTGTTCAGAATCAGATTCAAAATCATAATCAGACTTTGTTTGATCCGTAAAGGCATAGGCCTAAGCCGACGTAGCTCCGGCGTGGAGATACCCTACTGAAATTGAAACTAGACCAAAAATTTGGTCTCTTGCGTTCGTTATCCTATTATTTGGGTAGGGTCGTCTCCTCCCTTTAGAGACAGAAGCCGACCATCAGTATAAAGGGCGCTGGTCTGAGAATGAGGATCATCTGCATAAAACGTGGATATCCTCGTATACGCTGACAAAATGCGTTCCTCCCCAAAAAGATCTTCCACATTTTCGCAGACGTTTTTGTTCTTCAGCGCTCTGGGGGTTTCGGGTTCCCGATTTGCCCTCTGGCGATGCAAAAAATAGTCGGCATAAAAAAATACCTCAGTTCACTGTCTTATTTTATGGGTTGGCTGTCTTCCAAACAAGGATTTATCACTCATAACGTGAAAGTCTCTGTACAAAGTCAATGTAAAATGCATCAAGAAAATCATTGCGGAACCAATTTTTCGCATCGCCAACGGGCGGGATTGGAAATCAGAATCGTCAGCGAAAATGCAGACGATCCTTATTTTTGTGGACGCATCTGTTCACATTTATTATATTTAAAGCTTCCGGACACACGGTTCAGTGTAGAAATGTTAGAGAAAAAAATGCCTGAGTTATCTCTAATGCTTCACTCGGTAACCTCAGTTACTATACATTCTGATCATTTTTGTCTTGCCATGTATTTCGCTGTTACAGAAAAACTTTATGAGTCAAAAGGAGCAAAAGCCTACGCTCACGGGCCAGCGAACTCGGACCCGAAAGAGGGGTAAGTTATTAATTCATCTTATTTCATTATTTCTTGTACTTATTTTAGTTTGTTTGTATGCGAGTGTGTGTGTAAGTTATGTATACACAGTTACACACACTCTTTCTATCTCTTTCTCTCTCTGACACTCTCTCTCTCTCTCTCTCTCTCTCTCACACACTCTCACACTCTCACACACCCACACACACACAAATTGTTTAAGACAAGAAAGACACAGTAATTTTGCATAATTAATATTTAATTCCTATAGAACATTAGTCAGTTTCATGTAAGCAGTAAGTATTTTGCTATGATGATATTGGATGTTGTAAAATCTTTTATCCTTTCATATTTTTGATCAGATGAGAAAGAGAAATACGACCCAACTGGGTTCCGTGATAGTATCCTGCAAGGACTTAACGAAGCTGGCACAGATTTGGAACAAGTATCCAAATTCTTGGATGGGGCAGGCTCTAAGCTGAACTACCGGCTGTATGCTGAAACCCTTCTTGACATTCTTTTTGCTGGTGGCATTTTAGGTAAGTAAACAACTAGCAAAAATTGTATTCACACGGACAAAGAACAATGAAGACATTTTCTAATCCAAGCTTCTATTCAAGTTTGCTAGGGCAGGGGCCCTTCATACGTTTGACAGGTTGGTCAGAAATATGTACCTGAAATGACATTCCAGTTTCACCCATACCCATACCATGGTTCCATTAAAGAGTAGCGGACCATTTGGTAGACTAGAGTGCTATCCTTAACCCCCTTTCGATTGCAGAGATGCCATTTTTCAGGCCCTGACAACTCACCATGTAAGGCCTTTTCAAACGTCAAACTTAAACATGCCAGAGTCTCTTTTCAGGCTCATTGGATGAAGTCAGCTTCAGTACCATATGTTATATTTTATTTTAAGATGATGGGTTAAAGTTGTTTATTGTTGACTTGCATCTACATGTATATCTTACAGCACCTGGGGGCTCAGTGGTAGAGGATTCAGATAAGACCAAGGTTTGCCGCAGCGAAGTCTGCGTGTTCACCACCAAGGGAGATGTCGAGGCAATGCAAAACTTTGGTGAGGTAAGTCAAACTTAATGGCAGTTTTGTATTTTTTAAATTGTAAGTCCTATTATTTATGATGTTTGGAAAAGGAAAGTTTTAAACTTTAATTGACAGTTTAAAAGAGTTGATTACAATGATTTTAAGATATCTGTAAGATGAGGCTGTTTAATAATTTCGAGAATATACTGGCTTGCATGTATGCTTCATACTATAAAGCTGTAACTCTCATTCTGTGTTCCTCTTCAGGTGTTCAGCAAGTTGACTCGCCGCTACAAGTACCTCGAAAAGAAACTCCAAGATGAACTTGTCAAGGTAAGTTTAAAGGGCAATCCCCCACACCAAAACAATATGTGTATGGAGCACCGGGAGTTAAGATTAAAATGCTGAACTAAAAATGTGACGGAAAAGACAGTTACTGCTTTCGTATCGAGTACAGCTAGCTATCATTTAGATTAAAGAGAGAAGTTTGAGTTGTGGGAAGAGGTGAAAAATAATTTGTGAGCGTTGTTATTGTTATTACGCAGTGTGGAAGAACATCAGATAAAAAATGTTCCCTGAAAAGCATGGCTCTTCAAATGCTTTCATATTCTAAATATGACGTACAACAACATAAAAATCCGGACAGATTTTTATGCCACATGTTCGTATAGCCCCATATACATCTTTCTGTGTACAGTGCTTGTAACTTTACCAAGACTGGGCCAAATTTCTTATCATCTTTATGATTCCAGAACCTTGCACTACACACCAATACTTATATGCTAGATGATCAACTTTTTCTCATCAATTCCACACCCGTTTCACAATGCAATTGCATGACCAGAACTCAACCTTATTTTTAAAGAAATTGTCCTGCAGGAGACTGTAAATGGCCGCAAATTTGTCTGCTATGCTGCAAGATTTGTAAGAAATCAATGTCCATTTTTGTTTTGCAGATTATCCTGTTCCTTAAGGGCTTCACTGAGGTGGAGCGCAAGAAGGTAGCCATGATTACTAGCATCATGCTGGCTAATAACCAGGTAGATGCTAAATGCCTCGCAAGTCTCTTCAATGATCATCTTGTCAAAGATGGTAAGTCCTGAATCATTGGGTTGAATAAATATAGAAGAAAAAGAGAGGTTCGGACGGGTCTAAGATATTTGATATCAAGTACAATATTTAAATAATAAATTGGCACTAGAGGTGTCATTTTAGTTGATATTTGGGTGGGTCCAAGGTTAAGTGGGTCTGTAATCTTAGTAGAATTATCAATTAAATTGAAACTGTTTATGTCAGGTTCTGTATACCGTATTTGCCGGCGATAAGGCCGCACGGCCACATAGGCCGCACCCCAACTTTGACATTTCATCGTAGTCCTATATGTGCAAAATTGTGCTGGTTTTGACTTTCGTTTTTTTTTTTTTTTTACTCTTTTGCCGTAAAGGCCGCACCCCGACATTTTGATATTTTCTCTTCCAAAAATACTGCGGCCTTTACGCCGGCAAATAGGGTATCAGTTGTGTATGGGGCATGATTGCTATAGCAAAATACTCACAAAAATGTACATAGATTTTTGAAAAATCAAACCTTTTTTGAAGAGACACGTATATATAAATATGATAATTGAATTTCTTAAGGAATAAAAACGTGAAGATATTGGCCTAGCTGCTTGAAGAAAATTAGTGCATTGCATGTATTTCAAAATGTTAATGAAAGTTCTTTTGAAATTCTGAAAATTGAATCTTGATGGTGAAAATGTTGACAGGGTGATTCAAAATTGCAACTTTGTTTCTTTCTCATTTAAATGCGTTTTCATATCTTTTGTCATTTATATGCAGGCATTGCCTTGCAGTTTGCAGTGGACATGTTTGCTGTATGGTTGAAGGAACGTGATATGAACAACATCGGTTCAGTGCTGAGTAAGGCACAACTCGACAACAGACTACTGGTAAGGGCATTTCGCTACCATTATATATTTTTTTTAAGCCAGAAAATGCGCTAATTCGTTGATAAATGAATTGGGCATGTGGCATTTTGATATTGTGACTTATCCTCATGACTTTGAAGTTGATATTCCTGTCCTGAACTTTGTACAACAGTTACTACAGACAGCTAACATAAATGTGTGCCACTGTTGCAGCAAAGGAATCACTAGGGACTTTTAGATTGAGTGGACGAGAACGGCGTGAACGTCCACAGATCATGCGTGTCAACTTAGTCAACTGCCCCTGTTAACTACAGTTAGAAATCTTTTAGATTTCACTCAAGGATATACGTCGACAGGAAGTTAGCGTGATGAAGTCATAAACGACACGCCAAATTTCAAAAGAGTTTCTGCGTGCAAGGACCCGGCGTACCGTCACGTCAACAGCCAGGTGGGCGGTGCGAAGGCAAAGCTCATGCACACTGCCACTGCTACTAGCTATAAAAGTATAGACCTTTCTATGGATGCTATAACATACCAATCAAACTTTCAGTTCAAGACATAGAGTTTTAATGAGAATAGAGAGAAGGGCAGTGGCGGATCCAGGATTTTCCAGTAGGGGAGGGGGGCCTGAAATTTGGAAATTCCCGCAAACCATTATTTCAACTCAAAATACCAATACTTTGGGGAACTGCATTGAGGAAGTGCGTATGCAATTTTTTTTTGCTCAACAGGGGGGGGGGGGGGGGAGGAGGACTAAAATGTGCCTTGAAATGACGTCATCGCGAAGCAGTCCACTATGTCGATGTGCAAATCTTAAAGTCCCTATCGACCAATCTAAAAGACACTTGTATGCCTTATAACATGGAATAGACTTGTTGTTACTTCTTGACATTGTCAATTTCTCAAAGTTATATCAAGTGTTTTGATGATTATGCTCTTTTGAAATATAGAATTTTCTAAGTGATATATTAAACAATTTTCTAGATAGGGAGATGTATTCTTAACATGTGAACTTTTCCATTCACATGTATTTGCATTTTTTAAATTTGAAAATAGATCTATTTCTGATAGACGCACATATTTAATTCCACAGGAACTGATGCCTATTTCCAAGAGAAGCGAAGCCCAGTTTGAAAACATTTTCTGTGAAGCAGGTCTGACTGATTTTGCAAACTATCAGGTAAGTAATGCCCTTATTTTGTCCTGGGGAGAAAATGAATATTCCAAGATATTCATCTGAATAATGATATTTGGTACATTTATGGGTTATATTGAAGAGATAGTATAAAGCAAACTGAAAAATGTATATGAATTATGAAACCATATATGTCTTCACATTTGCTCTCTCAATGTACTTAAAAGCATGTTACTGTTGTTGCGTTTTTTACAAATATGTATATGTATATATATATATATATATATATAGATATATAGAACAAGGGATCTAAAAAGATCACAACGTTTTGTGTGCCGCTGCAACACTTTGTCAGGCAATAAAATATAATGTAAGCAAGCGTGTTTTACTCTACTGGCGGACTGGCAGATGGAGGGTTTTTTAGGCCGTTTTTTGGTTATTCACATTCTTAACATTAATCTCTCTTTAAAACAACATGCTAAGATTGATGTTCCTACTCCCAGTAGCTACTAATTTTTTAATTGATTATGATTAAACAAAGATTTATGTTCAAGTTCGGTGATGATTTTCTTACTCTTGACTCATAAATGGGAGCAAGAATATTAATCTGATTTAATGTGATAGATGTACAAGATATTGAAAGAGAACAATTTTTACACATTGGAAAAGTAGAATTATCTCACCATCTGTCGTTATGCTCTTATTGTGTTATATCTTTGAAGCGGGCTAGAGCTCATGCTGAAAGCAAGAAACGTCTTTTCAAAGAACTTTCTGAGATCACTGAAGACTCTGGAGACATAAAAGAGGTATTTATTTAAATCCTTTTATTTTTAGACATATTTATATTGTAGTGTAAGAACATTTAAAGAACTTGGCCTACAGGCTGAAAGTGCTAAAGCAGTATAAATGAAATAACTTCTGAAATTTCAGATCTCTCTTGAAAACAACATGCTATTCCCAGTAGCTACTCATATTTATTTGATTATGATTAAACAAAGATTCATGTTCATGTTCAGTGATGATTTTCTTACTCTTGACTCAAAAGTGGAAGCCAGAATATTGCACTGATTTAATCTGATGAACTTGGCCTACAGGCTGAAAGTGCTATAGCAGTATAAATGAAATAACTTCTGAAATTTCAGATTATTATTTTTTTTATTTTCTTCAGTTGCAGTACAAGAGGATGTATTTAATTTCCTGTCATTCTAACTCATGTTGATTTAGTGGGATGTAATGCAGTATTTAGGGACAGCCTTTTTGTGAATGTACTATTTATGATGGTTCTGATCAATTGAATAACAGACTTGTTTGAGGCACATGTTCACAGTTATTGATTGATTTCTAAGAGTGTAATAGATAATCCAATAGTAGAGTCCTGGGGCCTGTCTTATAAAGAGGTTATTTTAATCGCAACTATCTACATAAGATATAGGAGACTGCGAAAATGCTATTGATTTGGATCAATCGCAACCCTTTAAACATGTAAGACAGGCCCCAGATGTGTCAATATCAAAATTCACATTGTTAAGTGAGGCACTTGGGTACAAGGGCATCATATAATTTCAAACTGTACAATCATAGTGTATGGTATGTTATCGTTTGGATTGAAATAGATCACTTATCGGGATGTTTTTATTTGAATTTTGACAGATGCAAACCGCAATTCAGGAAACCATGAAGAAGAATGATTTTACTGGAAAGGACATCATTGGTGTAGTAAGTGTTCATTTACAGATGATTATATAATATTGAATGGCTTTGGTGTCATACAAGGGTATATTCCACAAGCTGATGAGCATATTTCACAAGTCAGCAAGTGAAATTTTCTAAAAGGGAGTCCGATATACCTTCATATCTCATGAAGTAAAAGCCATTCAATATTAGTATTATTGTATGAATTCTATTATCTCAATTTTCCCCCTTGCATCCTTATTCTTTTCTATTAAATTCAACATCAAACATAGGGTTTAACCGCATGTTCACTTTTTTACACATTCGCACACCCAAAAATATGAGATGTGGAAAATTCTTGCCTGGTCGTCCAGGTACTTTTTCACAATCCATGAGATATTGTTTTAAAATCGTATGGTCATCTGTGTACTTTTGCACAAAATTGAACATACTTTAATTTTTCTGGTAGGAGCAAAACCCTTCTTACGAAAAGTAATACATATTAATGCGTGAACTCTTACTCAAATGTAAATCATGTATTGAAATCTCTAATGAAATTGCTCCAAATTTGTTGGAGGAGGTCAGTAGGTGTCCCATATGTTACACAAAGTATTGTGGATTCACATTGAATCTGTCATTTGATTTCATATTTTGTCTGATTTAAGCTCCAGTAGAGCTACAGGTATATCCTTATTGCAATAAAAAGGTATACCGGTACTCAGGTCTAGATGTGGTCAGTAACGTAGGGGACTTAGGGGATGTAGTATAACTTGACTTGCCCTATTATTACAAGGACAAAGTCTATCTCTCTTTATAATAATGCTTATTCTTATATCTTAAACTGTGGCTGCCATGAGCTTCAGGGCAGTTTACATGAGCTTCAAGGCAGTTCAAAACTGTTTTGTGCATTATATGAGCAACAAAAAGATGTGCACACATTACATGTGAGGGCAGGTTTGCATTACGAATGTAATTACCTTTCGTATAGTAACCATGTGACTACTTCTGTCATTTATTTCTTCAGCTCTGGAAGGCAATGATGAAGTCCAATGAATGGTCCAAGAAAGAAGAAAATTTGCGAGAACAGCTAGGACGTTCCTTCAAGGTAATTACTTTCACTATCACGCCATTTGCTGGTCTGTCATATGTCTTGTAGCTTATGATTATGCTGAAGTATGTATGATTATGTAAGGATGAACCGATTAGATTTTGTGGGTGAGATGTGTAAGGTCACAGAGTCAATAAATATCACAGCAAATGTTTTTTTACTGCGATAATATAAGATGTCTTGAAGCAATTTCAACCAAACTTGATTGAAGTCAATGTGTGTATAAACATGTATGTATAAGCATGTTGAATTGACCTCATTTGAGTTTAGGTGTAAGATATCAGAGGTGAAATATTAAATGGTCTTGAAAAGTGTTGAATTTCACTAAAAATATCTTTTTACAGTGATAACTTACCAGAACCAATTTGAAGTATAAAAGTGTAATTTGAAGCAGCATAAAAAGAGTTATGGTTCTTAAGGTCAGATGTTTAAGGTAATAGGATTGTTAATCAGTACACTAACATGTAGGCAGAGGCTCATTAGAGGCGTAGTCAGATTTATCTTGCTTAGATATTTTACTAGACTTCTTTTGGATTTTAATCTTGCAGAAATACATGCCACTCTTCAAGACCTTTGTGACCACTGGTCGCACTGAAGCTCAACTATTACTCAAGATGCAGGTAAGTGTGGATTCTATACAAACCAATAATAAACACACAGGTGGCGGTGCCAGGGGGGGGGGGCAGCCACCTCCTTATCATTTTTAAAAAAGGAAGCGGAAGAGAAGGAGAAAGCGGAAGAGAAGGAGAAAGAGGAAAATGAGAAGGAAAAGGAAAGGAAAAGAAGGAGAACAAAAAGAAAGGAAGGGGAAGGCAAGGAGGAAGAGAACTATAATGTGTAGTATGACGTAAGGGAGGGCGGGGGAGAAGGAAAAAATAAAAAATAAAGATACAGAAAATAGAAAGAAATAAAAAAAGCAGGCCGAATCAGACGATCAGCTTATTAGCAGTTATTATAGGCCTACTGAGTGACTGAACACAGTCCTTTTGCCCGCCCATGCCATCGAGAACTCATTTAGTGAACTTCAATTGCTGAAAACGTACTTGAGTTCAACAATGACCCCCAAAATGTTTGTCTTCACTTCTGGTCATCAATTTAAACAGATATTGATATAGATATAAACAAAGTGATTGACGCAGACTAGTATTGCAAAAGAAGTTTGCCTTTCATTCTTAATGTTAAGATTTTATTTAATGTAAGGAAATGTCTGTTTTCAATCATTGTCATGTACACATGCATTGATTTCTACCACCTTCATCTTTGCCTGTATCATGTATATTTTGTAAAGTTTTCACTTTGAGTGTAATAAGCATGCTTGATTTCAAGCATAACATTTTCAATGATGTATGTTTTTTGTATGATACAGGATTACTGTCATTCTGACATTATGATGAGGAAAATGTTCACCAAGATGGTCACCTGGTTCTATTCCTGTAAGTTGAAAGAATTTGCTTACTTGATTATTGTTAAAGCCCCTCTAAAGTGCTGGGAGCCCCAAATTTGCCAAAAATTTGATGGCAAAATTTCACTCAAATTGTATCATAATGTGAAATAAGATGTAATTTAAGACACACTTCTGCAAAGATTCCAAGAGAAATTTAAAAGGGAAGTCCACCCTAATATTTAGTTATTTTTAATAGACGCAGACTAATGAGACAAACAAGTCAGTGAAAGTTTGGGCAAATTTCCGATTAGAAATAAGAAAGTTGTGAGTTTTTGAAGTTGCAATCAATCAAACACAAATTAGTAACTATGTGATATATCTTGTAAGGTCCCCTCCCATTTGCTCTCTACTATAAAAAAGAAATATTTTCCTGAAGAAAATTTTAGTCATACATGCACCCTAAATATATTTATTGCAAATGTACTCAGCAATTAGGACGATTGTTGACATTTTGTGGATAAGCACTGTAGAAAATGTTTTGAACTTTTCTGAAGATGTGAAGGAAGGATTATCCCTCATTTACTCTGGGAATATCATTAGTCAAAGATATAGAGCTTTAGTTGCAATTTGGAGTTAGGCTAGATTTCAGGGTACGTTATATAGGGTAATTTATTGTGTAAGGTCCCAGGTAACAGTTAAAAATTTGATCTGTGTTAGAAAATGAGTAAATAGAGCGATTGTCCTATGAGTATATGTTGTACAATCTTGTGAAGATATGGGTTGAAGTGTTAAAAATGGAGCAAATGGAGCGATTGCAGAGCTGCCAACCATTCCGTTTTTGCCGGAATTACTCCGTTTTTCCCTCCAAATTACGGTATTACGTTTTTTCTTCATAAAATACGTTTTTTAATAGAAAAAAAAATTTAATAATTTTTTTTTTTATTTTTTTTTTTTACATACCGCACGTCAAACAACTGCCCTAAAATGGTGATTTGATCACAAATTCAATAGAAAACTAATTTTAAAACATACTTGAAGAGAAAAATATTCTCTAAAAAAAATGAAATGCCGATAATACCAAAATAACCACCAAAAAAATTACTTGCTTGTATGGAAAAAACAGCGTGATGAATGAACATTTCTGCATTGGAAGTGTGTCCGCGTGGTTGTAAGTTTCGTTTTTATGTATTCCTTTTTTTGGCTTGAAATTCCTTTTTTTGCCATCATGATTCCTTTTTTTTGGTCGCACAAGGTTGGCAGCTCTGTGATTGTGGCTTGAAGCATACATGACATAATCCAGTGAAGCTATGTTAACTGATCTTCCTGCTTTTGTTTCTCCGATGTAGCTGATGTGCTGTCGGAAGATGAGATTCTGAAGTGGTACAAAGGCAATGACAGCCCCAAGGGCAAGGCCCAGTTCAATGAACAAATGAAGAAGCTTGTGGATTGGCTCAACACTGCTGAAGAAGGTGAGTAATTATATAATGTAAACTCAGATATTGATGATAGGTAGTTGGGGGATTCAAGACTTTTTGATAGCACACCTGGATAACAGGGTTATCAGAAGCCAGTTACTTCATGAATTCCTCTCAAACATTGGCCAAAGCGGAGCCATAATCTTTATAAGAAATCAGAGAAACAAATGAAGAAAAGAACAGAATTAAAAAGGTTAAAAATGTAAGTAATTTGAGGTCACTATCTAAATAACAAACCCTTACCAGTATGTTCATGTGTGATACCATTCATGGACAAATTCTCAATTGATTGTTTAGTAAGTATCTAATATTTACCTTGTCTGTTATGATACTTTTTTTATTGTAGGTAACACTTTTTTTAATGTCTTCCATTGGAATTACCAACTTCTAAGTGCCAGAATTTAGATAAACAATATTTTAGGTAATTTTAAATGTAAAACAAAAGGAGAAGTGGTCCATGGCCGTCATTAGATATTGTCAACTGCATTGCCAAATGTGAGATTGTCTATATCAAGACAGTTATTGAGGGATCGTTTTGTTTGAAACTAGTTTACTATTTTGTTCATTTGCTGCTTTCACTTAATCAGCTTGCTGTCCATGCTTAAATCGCCTTGAAAACCTCAAGCACTTTATGGAATACATATGTGGTAATTAATTGATGGCCAATCTAATTCTCACCCTGGGAGAAAGGGAAGCCTTACCAGAAAATCAGTTGAAGGAGAAAACATACAACCGTTACAACGTACCGTTTTGCTTCTTTGTTGTGTACTTTTGAATCGTCAAGCTGACCTGTCTTAGATGTTATCTACTTTCATTTTGAAATTGGCTTATAATACCCAATTTGTAATTCACGTTTTGTTTTGCTTCTCTAGAATCTGATGATGAGGAGGAGGATGAAGAGGACCAAGATCCAGATGAACAGGAGACCTAGAGCGTTTCAATGCCTTATTCCACATATCACACTATCATCATGTATCACCTGTAATTTCATAGTGTATTGACCCAATTTCCTCAGTCGGTATGAAATTGAGGCTTCCTTGGTCACGTGCCCTTACTGTTTCACTAGCTTTTTCTTACTTATCAACCAATTTCTCCAATTTGCATCATGAATTTTTAAGGTACTTACATTCTTGTCACAGTATGAAACAGTTATAAAATATATTTCTAACGTTTCCAGGAGAGTTTTCATTTGTCCTTTTTGGAAGGTGTTTCTGTAAAAGCCTTGCAAGCGATAAATAATTCCTCTTGAATATAATACTTCTCTTTCTCAAGTAGACAGAACATGAATGACTTACGTGCTATTGCCTTTGTGTAATTGCCTCTCTGTAAAATATTTGCATCATTCCTGAACTAAATATACGTTGTTAAGTACTCTGGAGGGAATGGACAAGTTGCAATTTGAAATGGATTCAAGATTGTAGGCAATCTAAGTAGTCGAATGACACAATTTGACTCAAGAATGCAAAGTCATTTGAACGTAATGAGCACAACTAAAGTGGAATCTACAGCCAAGATGCGCTTAAGCGTGCCATTTAGCTGTGCAGAGAAGACTCTATAAAATGTGCAGCAATGGCTCTAAATGCACACTCTTTGGCTGGGCTTGTGTTATATATGATTCAATAAAGCAAATTGCAGCCTCCATGATTCTGCAACATTTGACCTTTTAAACACGTTTTTAGAATATTTCTTCTTTCTATAATCATATTGTAACCTCTCGTATAAAACCGATTTAATTAGTGACGTACACTGTATGAACTCTGTTAATTCGAAATCTGATGGAAAATGTCTCATGCTTTTTTTGTATGGCTACTTAAGTTGCAGGTAGTGCGTATTCACTAATGCACTCATAAACACAAATTATCTGTATACAATTCCTCTATGTTATGGATAAGAGCTATGGATATTATACATGTACCTTTATGAGTCTGTATTTTTTTTTTTTCTTCAATATAAATTATACGATGCATCATTGTGATAAGATTGTTCTCCATATGAACAAAGTTACGTGGTGCTATAACATTTGACAACAATAGGTGGGCATGTCAACCAGCGATTGCTACACAAGGTAGCCCAAATGCAGAAAGTCTCAGAAGTACAGGCATGCATGTAAGGTCGTTCATTGTAAAATTGTAAAATTATGTCATACCTTGAGTCAAATGTTCTGTGCACATCATGAATGTTCTTTTTCTTTTGGGGAACTGTGTCAAATAAGTTACTTTTCTTCCCCATTTATTGTTACCAATAAAGATAAACAATGTCAATTCTTGATTGCACTGATATGATACATGTTGAGTATTGTGATATCATGGAGGGTATATTTACTACATACATTGTAGACAAATGAAATCGGGAGTGGGAGTTAAAAGGAATATTATATTCAAACTTGTACTTGTAATATGCACAGAATGACAGTCATTGATTTTTCCTGATCAAGTCATGTTGTGTTTCTGTGTATAATGTAGATCTTGTTCAGTAAATGCAATTGCATTTTGGAGTATGATGTATGAATATGTCACACCTTCTAAAGTGAGTGAAAAAGTAGAAAATATATCAGAATGAAAGGAATAAGATGTATTATATATATTATTTTTTTCAGAATGAACCTTATCATAGACCATTTGATGTACTTGTACATTAAGAGTAAATCACAAAACTGCAAAAATGCATAACTGTAAAGAACTAGGTAGCCTGGAGATAGCTTAGTTAAATATTTGATCTTTGTTTCCCTCGTATTTCATTTAATGATATTCTGTATTAAGTCGACCATCATTTTTTCATATTTCGTTAGTATGATTGTTTTGTAAACTGCATCACTGTCATTATTTCCATCGAATTTTGTAGATTTTGATATATGTAAAGCAGCATCTGCCATTACGTTTGGTAGCTGAACTCGTTGCAATGATTGAAAGATTGATGAGGAAATTATAGATTGGATAAGTCGTGAAAATAATCTATTTCTCCCCTTAATTAGACACAGTGTGTGAATTCAGAACCAAACTGAATGCAGACACACTTTGTAACTGATTGCTACACTTACATGTCAATGACAAACTATTTGTTCTTCGTTAAATGCTGATATGCAATGTTTGGTTATGCCTCTCGCTAAGCTTGGGGATTGGGAGGCACATTTTTGTCCTACTATCGGGACAATTTTTATTTGAATGTCAATAAAAGAATGTGATGTAATTATGCTAAAAAGGACGATATTTTGTATTAATGAGTCATTGATTGAGTCATGTACCATTCTGTTGGCATAGCAATTAAGATTTTAGTAATTGTCACCTGAAGCTGTTTTGCAGTTGAAGGTACTGTTTAACTTTATTTTGCAGTACACAGCAACTTCAATCAATGAAATTTTTTTTTTTTTACCAACATTCAGAAAAATACAGGACCACATTTGTTTTTAAATAATAGAGATAATCAATTTTTCTCGCCTAACAAACAAAACTGTTAATAAATGGTTTTAAGCAAAGACCATAATATATCATATTGCAAGATAGAGGTGTCACTTGCCCACTTTTATGATGTAAAATGATACAGCATAAGCTTTAGGTTTCTTCTAGGTGATGTGTGTGTGCGTAGGTCTGGTTTAATTGGTTTGGTATAATGTGATGTGTGGTTTTTTATGATGTGATTTGTGGTTTGATGTGATCTGATGCAGCATGGTGTAGTGTGGTGATGTGTGGTATGTATGGTCTGGTGTGTTGTATGTAGTGTGGTATGGTTGTAATGTCAGGTTCGATATGGTGTGGTGTAGTATGGTGTGGTTTGAAGTGATCTGATGTAGTGTGGTGATGTGTGGTATAATATGGTATGAATAGTCTGGTGTGGTGTAGTAGTGTGGTATGGTTGTAAATGTCAGCTCCGGTATGGTGTGGTGCATGATGCAGGGTTGTGTGATGTGGTTTGGTGTGGTAAGTTGTGGTGTGATATGGTATGGTATGGTGTAATTTGTGGTGGTATACTGCGGTATGGTATAGCGAAGTGTGGTGCGTGATGTTGTTTGGTGTGACGTGCACATGGTGCAGTATGGTGTGGTGTGATATTTGGTTTGGTGTGGGTGTGGTGTGATGCGATTTGATGTTGTGTGTGGTGAAGTGTGGTATATGCATGGTGCACATTCTCTGTTCAAACTGACTTTTACCGAGTCATGGTCTGGGGTAGATAGAATGATCCCCATTGCAGTCAATCCGTAGCACGTGATAATGCGCCTCCATTAGTATTCCCTTTTGCGGCACACACAATATTGGTGCGTCCATATATGCTTGATGCGATATGGTCTTTGATTTTGATCCTTAGAAACGCTCATTTTGCATGAATTTGCACTCATTTTGAAGATGAGATTTTGAAGTTTCCTTAATTGCCAATTCATAATAAGTCGTGTCCACGAGGAGTTTGGAATGGATATTGAGGTTGCAATTTTAAAAGAGTTCATTGTTAAGAGCTCGGTCAGGCATTCAACGTCTTTATCAAAATATAGAGAAAGGAAGACGATTCGTCGTAGGCCTACCGTTGTTGACTCTTAATCCTTTTTTAAATTAGTTTCCCCGAAAATTTTAAACCTCTGATTTCTTAAGCTGATATTATAGGAAAGTGAAACTTCGAGAAAATACAAGTATTGTAGTTGTAGTCACTCTCGAAGTCGTCAGTTCGTAGGGAAAAAAAAACTTGTCGGACGACCGACAATATACATCTCACCGACTTCAAACTTCTGCATTGATATAGTACACGAGGATCGAGCAAGAATACCGACACAGCTGACCCGACACAGCAACATATTTACCCATGTCTTTCTTGCTTCTTTGACGAGACGTCTCCACCCACAAGCCCCCTTTCTTTTACTCCCACTCCTCCTTTCTCAGGCTCTTACCTCCCCCCTCTCCTCTCTTCACCCCTGTTTCTTTTGTTTCCCTTTTCGCTTTTTTCCCCTTTTTTCCTTTTCTTTCTTTCCCTTTCTTTCCTCTTCTCCCTCTTTTTCTTTTTTCTCTTTCTTTCCTTTCTCTTTTCTTTCCTTTCTTCTCCTTTCTTTCTTTTCCTTTCTTTCTTTTCTTTTCCTTTTCTTTTTTCTTTTCTTTCCCTTTCCCTCTCTTTTTTGCCCTCCCCCTTTTCTCTTTTTCTCGACGGCAGCGCAATTTTACCGACAATATCCTGACAGGTGGTGGGGTGTCGCACCCTCCACACCCCCTTTGACGACGCCCCTGATTCTGGCATGACAACTGAAGATAACGCTTTATAACGTCACGAAAGCCCGGGGGAGGGGGGGGGGGGGTCACTCGCATACCAAAGTGGTACGCGTGCTCGTCATAAAAACGTCGAAAAAGGGTCTGGGCGTCGTCGACGTTTTTAGGAAAAAAGGGTGCTTTTCAGGTTAAGTTTCGACGTTTAGGGTATCTTTTTTCAACTTCAAGTTCGACGTTTGTGGTCACTTTTCGGCCATGCCAGCACCGACATTTATTTGCGTGTATACTACCCATATCTCTTTAAAATGAGTTCCTCCGAAGAGATATATTTCCCTTGATTTTTCTAGTCTCTATATGCGCGGCTCTACGCCAAGACTTTGAATTACCTGGGTTTGCAGCGGGCGGGCACTGTTACTTCTGTGTAGGTGCCAGTGTAGACCGCAGTGTAGCCAAGTAATAGGGGTACATCACTGCCGGCCATAGTAATCTTGTTGTGTATGTTTGCAATAGAGTAAATTTTTAATTTGAAATTTCTAATTCAAAATTGAAACTAAGCACTTTTTACTGAGCCATGTTAGTTTATTAGCTGCATTAATAAACTTGAACGAAGAACCAGCATATAGCTTCCAGTCTGTATCTATAATGCCTCAGTGTGAAAATTAATATGACACTATAAGCTTGGTGAAGGTGGGGATTAAAGGGCCCATTAAAGTAAAGTTCTATATGTATTCCGATATATATTTATATGCAAGATTTTATTTATGAAAGGCCAAAATTGAAATAAATTATGTTTCATGTAAGATCATGGGGCATGCACATATGGAACTCTTTCCCCTGGGATTCTTTCTTAATTACTGTGTAGTTTGCACAATTTATGGGGTTGTTTTTAGAGTTTACGCCATTTAGGGGTCCATTTTAGCGTTTAC